TCTGTCGTCTGTTCGGATTTTTATTAGACAGATAATCTCCGAAATTAACAGATCGATTGTTGTCAAATTTTGTAAAACGCTATTCAACATTTGTCTGCTCATCCCCACCGACAACGGGAATGACATCAGCTCTAAATTTTACAATAGTAAATGTCATTTAAATTTTATAAAATAATAAACTGCTCCATTTGTCCATTAGGCATCTAGATTTTTGGGAAAAAAAGTAAAAATTGTATAACATATCCCCCAAAAACTGATCATGTCATAATATAACTAATAAAAACATAGTGTTTTTCTTCAATTTTTCTTCTATTTTTCAATTAGTCGATATTTCAGTTTTGATATTTTTCAATGTGTTTGGATTCTTCAATTTTTTTTATTTAAAAAATCAACAAATTGACAAAATTGAAAATTTCCCGACTTTTTTTTTTCGATTTTGTCAATTTTTCAATTCTCCAATTTTTCGATTTTCAGGTTTATGATTTTTCGATTTCGACTTTTCAATTTTTCGATGTTTCAGTTTTGGGATTTTTCGATTCTTTAATTTTTCTTGCATTTTTCAAGACCGATAATCTCCAAAAGTACTGGACCGGGTGTTGTCAAATTTTATATGTACGTATGTATTTTAATTTTTCGATTTTGCGATTTTTTGATTTCTCAATTTTTAGAGATTTCAATTTTGAAATTTTTCCATTTTTCAGTTTTTCGATTCTTGGATTTTTGGTTCTTCAATTTTTCGATTTATTAAATTTTTGGTTTCTCCATTCTTCTTATTTTCGATTACTCAAGTTTCCAATATTTCCGTCTTACGTTTTTTCAGTTCTTCAATTATTCAATTTTCCGATTTTTCAACTTTCCTTTTTTATTTTTCGACTTTTAAAATGTTCGATTTTTCAACTTCTCGATTTCTCCTCTTATTTTTTTGATCCTTTCATTTTCTTTTTGATTTTTCAGTCTTTCAACATTTCGATTCTTGAATTTTTCGATTTTTCGATTTCTTAATTTTTTACCTTTTCAATTTTTTGATGTCTCGATTCTCGATTTTTCAATTTTTCGTTTTCTCATTTTTTAGAGATTCCAGTGTTGGGATTTTTTTCAATTTCTCGATTTTTCAGTTTTTTGATTCTTGAATTTTTGAATTTTTCATTGTCTCTTTCTTTCAGTTTTCATTCGATTTTTCGATACTTGAGTTTTGGATTTTCAATTATTTGGTTCTTCAATTACCCGGTTTATTAAATTTTCTACTTGTCGATTACTCAATTTTCCGATATTTTCGTCTTACGATTTTTCAATTTTTCAATTCAATTATTGGATTTTTCAATTTTTGAATTTTCGACGCCTCTAAATTTTTGATTGATCCATTTTTGGGCTTTTCGACGTTAAATTTAGATTTTCAGTTTTTCAATTATTCAATTTTTTGATTTTTCAACTTTTCATTTTTATTTTCCAAATTTTAAAATGTTCGTTTTTTTGGCGATTTCTCCTTTCTGTTTTTCGATTCTTTAATTTTCCTTTTGATTTTTCAGTCTTTCGATTTTCAATTTATAAATTTTTCGATATTTCAGTTTGAAATTTTTCAACATTTCGATTCTTAAATTTTTCGATTTTTCGTTTCAATTTTTCGATTTCTCAATTTTTACCTTTTCAATTTTTCGATTTCTTAATTTTTGGAGATTTCAGTTTTGAGATTTTTTCAATTTTTCGATTTTTCAGTTTTTAGATTCTTGAATTTTTAATTTTTCAATGATTCTTTTTTTCAATTTTCATTCGATTTTTCGATTAATTAATTTTTCGATACTTCAATTTTGGATTTTCAATTTTTTGGTTCTTCAATTTCTCGATTTATTAAATTTTCGATTTCTCTGTTCTTTTCATTTTCGATTACTCAATTTTCCGATATTTGCATTTTACGATTTTTCAATTTTTAAATTCTTCAATTATTCGATTTTTCAATTTTTGAATTTATGACGTTTCTAAATTTTTGATTTCTCGATTTTTTGACTTTTTTCGACTTTTAAATTTCGATTTTCAGTTTTCCAATCATTCAATTTTTCGAACTTTTAATTTTTGGTTTTTAAAATATTAAATTTTTCGACTTCTCGATTTCCCCTTTCAATTTTTCGGTTCTTTCATTTTCTCCGTGGTTTTTCAGTCTTAAAATTTTTGATTTTTTGTTTCGATTTTTCGTTTTCTCAATTTTTTACCTTTTAGATTTTTCAATTTTTCGATTTTTTTAATCTCTTGATTCTCGATTTTTCAATTTTTCGATTCTTCAATTTTTTTTATATTTCAGTTTTAGGGTTTTTAATTTTTTTGTTTTTTTTAAATTTCAGGTTTTTTGATTTTTGGATTTCATGATTTTTCAATCTCCAGATTTTTCTATTTTTATATTTTTCGAATTTTTAAATTTTAGTTGTTTTAATTTTCCGATTTTGCGATTTCAGTATTTTCCTTTTCTGAATTTATCCAAAATTTCAATATTTCGATGTTTGAATTTACCAGTTTTTCAATTTTTCAATTTTTTTTTCTTCTATATATCGATTTATTAAAATTAGGAAGTTTTCGATTTTTACAATTTTTTTTCGATTTTTGGATTTTCCGGTTTTTCGATTTCTCCATGTTTCAATGTGTAATTCGGTGTTTCGATTTTCCGATTTAGAAGTGTTTTGATTTTTCGACTTTTTGGCTTTTCTATTTATCCATTTTCCAATTTTTGATGTTTCAGTTTTGGGATTTTTAAATTTTTTTATTTTAAATTCCAAGTTTTTCGATTTCCCGTGTTTATCATTTTTCAATTCCTCGATTTTTCTTTTTTCTATTTTTCGTTTTTTTTAATTTTAGATTTTTCAATTTTTTTGATGTTTCGATTTCTCTATCTTTCACTTCTGGATTTTAGATTTTTCGGTTTATTAATTTTTCAATATTTACAATTTTTCACTTTTTTGGTTTTTAAATTTTTCGGTTTTTAAATTTTGCGATTTTAAAATTTTTTTCAGATTTCCATTTTTGGATTTTATAAAACTTGATATTTCTGATTTCTCAATTTTTCGGTTTTTCAACTTCTTGACTTTTCAGTTTCTCAATCTTTCGATGTCCCAATTTCTCTTTATTTCGATTTTCGCGTTCCCCAATTTTTCAGGATTTCAGTATTTGAGATTTCTTTTGAATTTCTCAAACTTTCGGTTTTTCGATGTTTTTAAATAATCGTAGCTATTTTTTTTAATTTTTAATACTTGAGTTTTTAGATTTCGCAGCATCCTGGATTTTTGATTTTTAAAATTTTTCGATTTTTGATTTCTCAGTTTTTCAGTTTTTTGGGAATTTCGCAATTTCTGGATTTTTCAATGAGTCGATTGCTGGATTTTCGATTTTTCAATTTTTCGATTTTGCAAATCGCAATTTTTTTTAATAATTTTTCAAAGAAGCGGGATTGTTCGGCTGCACTTCGGGCATAAGGGAAGTTCTGTTGAAAAAACTTTCGAACAATTTTTTTTTGGAATTTATTCCAGACTTTATGGAAACTGCACGAATACCACAAATTCACCTGAGACAAATATTATTTCTCATGAAATCAAAAATGAACATTTCTTCACTGGAACGACTGCCCGGAATAAAAGTCTGGAATTGATTCAGTCCTGAAAATATCAGCCACCTGCACATGTCTGAACGGTAAGAAAATTATTTCTGAAACGGGTTTTATTTACCGTCTACTATTATTACCGCTGGTATAATATTAAATTTACATAAATTTTACTTTTAAAATATTACCTCTGAACGTATTTTTTTTTGAACAATTACAGCTTACAATGTTACGCAGAGCATGAAACCCACTAACCATATCATTTCAAAGAGAACAAGTTAAACATTATCACATTTAGAAAAACACTAAAATTGCTTTGAGGAGCTTACTTCTCATAATTATTGTTCGAGTTCTGGTTATAAAATATTTACAACAATTTAATTTATACTCTTTGGTTTTGTTGAAAGAAAAAAACTGTAATTAGCGATCTAAAACATAATTATTTAAATATCTTAGTATTACTGGTTGCCTACATGGAAGGGGCTAAATAGCAACAAGTAAAGTAAATTCGCTTGACGCTCTTTTCTAGTAAAATTTAACTTAGCTGAAAATGTTTCAAAAAACTTTGGTTTAGAGTATTCTTAACAGTAAATGTACAATTCGAACGGTTAAATTTTATAAATTTGCCCGGGGTTAGAAAACAAATATCCCCGATTTTAGTAATTTTAATTAAAATCGGGGTAATTAAATTTCAATAAAATAATACAAAATCGCTAAACAACAAATGCCAAACATCATTAATGAACGAACGAAAATGTACAAATAAATTGATCAAACGCGGATTAATTTTTCTTAATAAGCAATTCGCCCGTAAATGAATGAATTTAACATGAACGTGAAACAACGTTATTCCATTTACACAAAATTTATTCAAAATTCGATTGAATTAATTACATTTCCAGCGTCGAACGCTATAGAAAAAACCGTCTTTATTAAACAACCTTCGTACTTTTCGCATAAATGGCACCCTCCATAAACTCCAACTCAAAACAGAAAACATCACAGAGTCCGTAAATAATTCCGCTGCAACCCACTTAAATTCCGAGTCGAAATAATTAATCCTTCGAGAGTAGTACCCGACGCCCCTCTAAAAACCGCCAAGCACCCATCTTTAAACAAAATGAAAGCAATAAACCGAATTATATTTCGCACAGTACATGAAAATTTTATTAATAATAAGTCTGTAGTTTTATAATTCGGAATTATCGCGCAGTTTTATTCCGGCTCGTTATAATTCAAAACATCATCTCTTAATGACTTCAAAATTGCCGAGGGACCCCAAATGATCCATTTTAATGTGGGCTTTCCGGCAAAGAGTGAGAATCGTCTTATGCTTTAATCTTAATTAAAATGTTAGGGACCGTACCTGAAAGTTGAACAAATTAAGACGGAGCAAATCTTTGCGTAATCAGCAACATGCTGTTTGCTTTGCGGTGTCTTGATGTCGATAAGATTAGAATGACACGTGATTTCTTGTGTTTGTCTGTTTCTGCGAGAGACGAGTCGAAAAAATGCGACTGGGATGTGTGCTGTGGCTGTGTAAGTTTTCATTGTCGATATCGATATCGGTGTTGTGGACGTTGGTAATCTTGATGTACTAGTTTTTATTTTGTTTGTGAATCTCGGTCTATAGTCTTGCTCAAATACACTTTCTGTGATAAAATTAAGCTAACATTAATTAAAGTCGCTGTTTTTATGGAAATGTTTGATTAGATTTTGTCCCATTTACTGAGTGGCGGAATTAATCCGGTATTGCCGTACACTCGACGCACTTTCGACAGCACTGATAAACATTATTGTTCAATGTTTCGGTTATAATAAGGATAATTGCACAACCGGAAAGTGAGCCAAGGACAAGGATAATTTGTTGCCCTGCTTCTTACTAATTGTTACAATATTTGTTGTAGAAATGATGTTATATGCTTTGTCAAGGGTGTCTTGAGAAAGAGGAAAAAATTGGCCTCAGGTTATTTCGTCACAACTTTCCTCGCTCCTGAAATTATATTTAAAGCAGATAACTAACGAAAAACGAGAAGGAAATCGAAAAACTCAAAAAGTGTCCATAATCGAGACGTCGCATTGAAAAACCGAAAAATCGAAATCCGGAAAGTCGAAAAATCGAGCAATCGAAAAATCTAAAATTTAAAAAGCGTAAAAAATCTACAAACCTGAAGTATTGAAAAATCAAAAACTTGAAAATCGGGATATCAAAACATCAAAAAATAAAAAAAAATCGAAACTTAAAAACATTGAAGAAAAATTGAAGAATCGAAAATTGAAAAACCGAGACACCGAAAAATTAGAAAATCCAAAAAATATAAAAACCAAGAAATCGAAAAATCGAATAACTAAAACATCCAAGATCTCGAAACATAAAAAGTTCGAAACATCGAAGAATGTAAAATTTAAGAAATAGAAAAACTGAAAAATCAAGATTACGAGAAATCGAGAAATTGAAAAATCTAAATTGAAATGTCGAAAATTTTTAAAAATAGAAAAACCGAGATGTCCTGAAATCTAAAAATTGGGAAACTGAGAAATTTTAAACCGAGAAGTAAAAAAATTGATAAATGAAGGAATCGAAACATCAAAATATCGTAAAATCGAAAAATGGAAACATCGAAATCTTAATAAATCAAAAAATCGAGAAACCCCAAAACTGAAACATCGAAAAATTGAGAACTCGAAAAACTGAGAAATCCAGAAATCGAAAAGCCAAAAAATAAAAAAATCGAAAAACACAAACGTAAAAAATTGACGAAATGGAAAACGGAAAAATAGAGAAATCGAAACAAAAAGGTATCGATAAATCGAAAGTCGAAAATTTAAAAATCCGAAAAATTGCAAAATTGAAAATTCGAGAAACCCCAAAACTCAAACATCGAAAAATTGAGAAATCAAAAAATTAAGAAATCGAAAAATTCAAAAGTTACAAAATAGAAAAGTCAAAAAATCGAAAACTTAAAAAACCAAAAAACTGAAAAATCGAAGAATCGAAACATCGAAAGTCGAAATTTTAAATTCGAAAAATTGGAAAACAGAAAGATCAGAACATCGTAAAATCGAAAAATGGAACCATCGAAATCTTGATTAATCGGGAAATCGAAAAACTGAGAAATTTAGAAATTGAAAAGTCAAAAAACAGAAAAGTCGAAAAATAGAAAACATAAAAAATTAAAAAATTGACGGAGTGAAAAACTGAAAAATCGAGAAATAGAAACATCGAAAAGTCGAGGAACCGATAAATGGGAAAATTAAAAAATGGAAAAGTTGGACAATTAAAGAATTGAAAAATCGAAGAACTGAAAAATCAAAAAACGACAAATCGACAAATTGGAAAATTTTAAGTTCAAAAAGTCAAAACTGATAAATCAAAAAATTCAAACCGAGAAATCGGAAAACCGAATATTTGAAAAACTGAAACAACGAGAAATCGAAAATAAAAAAATCGAGATATCGAAATAGTCCAAACGAAAAATAAAAAATTGAAAAATTTTAAATGAAAAAAATCGATAAATCAAAAAATTGAAAAATCAGGAAATAGAACAATCGAAAAATCTAAACATCGAAAATTGTAAAATTTAAGAAATAGGAAAACTGAAAACGAGAAATCGAGGAATTGAAATATCTAAAATTTAGAAAATCGAAATGTCAAATCGGAATCATTGCAACACCAAAAAATCGTAACATCAAAAAATCCAAAAACTGAAAATTTGGAAAATCAAAAATTTTAAATATCGTAAAATTGAAGAACTGAAAAGTCGAAAAATCAAAAGATCGAGATTCGAAACAGCCAAAGATTGAAAAATATAAAATTAAAAGATTGGAAAAATTGAAAAATCGGAAAACTGAAACATCGAAAAATGGAAAAATCGAGAAATTGAAAAATCGTATGTCGAAAATTTAAAAATTCCAGAAATTAAGAAAGAGAAAAATCGAAGGACACAAACGTCGAGGAATTAAAATACTGTGAAACTGAAGAATCAAAAAATTGGAAAATTGAAAAATCGAGAAATCGAAAAATCGAAAGTCGAAAATTTAAAAATTCGAAAAATTGAAAATCATAAAAAACCAAAGATCAAACAACGAGAAATTAAAATGTTGAAAAAATGAAGAAACAAGAAATTGATAAACCCAGAAATCGAAACATCAAAAAAGTGAAAAATTCAAAAATTGAGAAATCGAACAATCGAAAATGGAAGATTTAAAAAATTCGAAATATTGGAAAACAGAAAAATCGAAGGCCCAAACATCGAGAAATTGAAAAATAAAAAAATTGATAAACCCAGAGATCAAAACACCAAAAAATGGAAAAATTTTAAAAATCGAGAAATCGAAAAGTCGAAAAATCAAAAAATTAAAAATTGAGGAAATGACAAACTAAAAAGTCGATAAACCGAAACATCAAAAATTCAAGAAATCGATAAATGGTAAAATGAAAATCGAGAAATTGAAAAATCGAAATTAAAAATTGTAAAATTCGAAAAATTGAAAAACAGATAATCCGAAGGACCAAACATCGAGAAATTAACATGTTGAAAAAATGAAGAAACAAGAAATTGATAAACCCAGAAATCGAAACATCAAAAAATTGAAAAATTCAAAAATTGAGAAATCGAACAATCGAAAATGGAAGATTTAAAAAATTCAAAATTTTGGAAAACAGAAAAATCGAAGGCCCAAACATCGAGAAATTGAAAAATAAAAAAATTGATAAACCCAGAGATCAAAACACCAAAAAATGGAAAAATTTTAAAAATCGAGAAATCGAAAAGTCGAAAAATCAAAAAATTAAAAATTGAGGAAATGACAAACTAAAAAGTCGATAAACCGAAACATCAAAAATTCAAGAAATCGATAAATGGTAAAATGAAAATCGAGAAATTGAAAAATCGAAATTAAAAATTGTAAAATTCGAAAAATTGAAAAACAGAAAATCCGAAGGACCAAACATCGAGAAATTAAAATGTTGAAAAAATGAAGAAACAAGAAATTGATAAACCCAGAAATCGAAACATCAAAAAATTGAAAAATTCAAAAATTGAGAAATCGAACAATCGAAAATGGAAGATTTAAAAAATTCGAAATTTTGGAAAACAGAAAAATCGAAGGCCCAAACATCGAGAAATTGAAAAATAAAAAAAATTGATAAACCCAGAGATCAAAACACCAAAAAATGGAAAAATTTTAAAAATCGAGAAATCGAAAAGTCGAAAAATCAAAAAATTAAAAATTGAGGAAATGACAAACTAAAAAGTCGATAAACCGAAACATCAGAAATTCAAGAAATCGATAAATGGTAAAATGAAAATCGAGAAATTGAAAAATCGAAATTAAAAATTGTAAAATTCGAAAAATTGAAAAACAGAAAATCCGAAGGACCAAACATCGAGAAATTAAGATGTTGAAAAAATGAAGAAACAAGAAATTGATAAACCCAGAAATCGAAACATCAAAAAATTGAAAAATTCAAAAATTGAGAAATCGAACAATCGAAAATGGAAGATTTAAAAAATTTGAAATATTGGAAAACAGAAAAATCGAAGGCCCAAACATCGAGAAATTGAAAAATAAAAAAAATTGATAAACCCAGAGATCAAAACACCAAAAAATGGAAAAATTTTAAAAATCGAGAAATCGAAAAGTCGAAAAATCAAAAAATTAAAAATTGAGGAAATGACAAACTAAAAAGTCGATAAACCGAAACATCAGAAATTCAAGAAATCGATAAATGGTAAAATGAAAATCGAGAAATTGAAAAATCGAAATTAAAAATTGTAAAATTCGAAAAATTGAAAAACAGAAAATCCGAAGGACCAAACATCGAGAAATTAAGATGTTGAAAAAATGAAGAAACAAGAAATTGATAAACCCAGAAATCGAAACATCAAAAAATTGAAAAATTCAAAAATTGAGAAATCGAACAATCGAAAATGGAAGATTTAAAAAATTTGAAATATTGGAAAACAGAAAAATCGAAGGCCCAAACATCGAGAAATTGAAAAATAAAAAATTCATAAACCCAGAGATCAAAACACCAAAAAATGGAAAAATTTTAAAAATCGAGAAATCGAAAAGTCGAAAAATCAAAAAATTATAAATTGAGGAAATGACAAACTAAAAAGTCGATAAACCGAAACATCAGAAATTCAAGAAATCGATAAATGGTAAAATGAAAAAATCGAGAAATTGAAAAATCGAAATTAAAAATTGTAAAATTCGAAAAATTGAAAAACAGAAAATCCGAAGGACCAAACATCGAGAAATTAAAATGTTGAAAAAATGAAGAAACAAGAAATTGATAAACCCAGAAATCGAAACATCAAAAAATTGAAAAATTCAAAAATTGAGAAATCGAACAATCGAAAATGGAAGATTTAAAAAATTTGAAATATTGGAAAACAGAAAAATCGAAGGCCCAAACATCGAGAAATTGAAAAATAAAAAAATTGATAAACCCAGAGATCAAAACACCAAAAAATGGAAAAATTTTAAAAATCGAGAAATCGAAAAGTCGAAAAATCAAAAAATTAAAAATTGAGGAAATGACAAACTAAAAAGTCGATAAACCGAAACATCAAAAATTCAAGAAATCGATAATGGTAAAATGAAAATCGAGAAATTGAAAAATCGAAATTAAAAATTGTAAAATTCGAAAAATTGAAAAACAGAAAATCCGAAGGACCAAACATCGAGAAATTAAAATGTTGAAAAAATGAAGAAACAAGAAATTGATAAACCCAGAAATCGAAACATCAAAAAATTGAAAAATTCAAAAATTGAGAAATCGAACAATCGAAAATGGAAGATTTAAAAAATTCGAAATATTGGAAAACAGAAAAATCGAAGGCCCAAACATCGAGAAATTGAAAAATAAAAAAATTGATAAACCCAGAGATCAAAACACGAAAAAATGGAAAAATTTTAAAAATCGAGAAATCGAAAAGTCGAAAAATCAAAAAATTAAAAATTGAGGAAATGACAAACTAAAAAGTCGATAAACCGAAACATCAAAAACTCAAGAAATCGATAAATGGTAAAATGAAAATCGAGAAATTGAAAAATCGAAATTAAAAATTGTAAAATTCGAAAAATTGAAAAACAGAAAATCCGAAGGACCAAACATCGAGAAATTAAAATGTTGAAAAAATGAAGAAACAAGAAATTGATAAACCCAGAAATCGAAACATCAAAAAATTGAAAAATTCAAAAATTGAGAAATCGAACAATCAAAAATGGAAGATTTAAAAAATTCAAAATTTTGGAAAACAGAAAAATCGAAGGCCCAAACATCGAGAAATTGAAAAATAAAAAAATTGATAAACCCAGAGATCAAAACACCAAAAAATGGAAAAATTTTAAAAATCGAGAAATCGAAAAGTCGAAAAATCAAAAAATTAAAAATTGAGGAAATGACAAACTAAAAAGTCGATAAACCGAAACATCAAAAATTCAAGAAATCGATAAATGGTAAAATGAAAATCGAGAAATTGAAAAATCGAAATTAAAAATTGTAAAATTCGAAAAATTGAAAAACAGAAAATCCGAAGGACCAAACATCGAGAAATTAAAATGTTGTGAAATTGATAATAAAAAAGTTGATAAATCCAGATATCGAAATATCAAAAAATTGAAAAATTGAAAAATCGAGAATTTGAAAAATTTGAAGTCGAAAATTTAAAAACTCGAAAAATTGAAAAACAGAAAAATCGAAGGAACGAACATCGACAATTAAAATATCGAGAAATTGAAGAATCAAAAAATTGATGAACCCAGAAATAGAAACATGAAAAAATTGAAAAATTAAAAAATCAGGAAATCAAAAAGTCGAAAAATCGAAAGTTCAAATATCAAAAAAATTAAAAATTTTGAAAAATTGAAGAAATAAAAAACTAAAAAATCGATAAATCGGAACGTTAAAATCTCGAAAAATGGGAAAATCGAAAAATCGGAAAAGTAGAAAAATTGAGAAATCAAAAAATAGGAAAATCAAAAAATAGGGAAATCAAAAAGTCGAAAAATCGATTAATCGCGAAATCGAGAATTCGAAAAATCGGAAACTTGGAAGCGCCAAAATTGGCAAAATTTAAAAATAGTAAAACTGAAAAATCAAAAATTAAAAAAATTGAAAAATTGAGAGAGAATTTGAAAAATCGAAAACTTGGAAGCGTCAAAATTGGCAAAATTTAAAAATAGTAAAATTGAAAAATCAAAAATTAAAAAAATTGAAAATTGAAAAATCGAAAGTCAAAAATTTTAATATTCAAAAAATTAATAAACAGAAAATCCGAAGGAACAACATCGAGAAATTAAAATGTCGGGAAATTGAAGAACAAAAAAATGATAAACCCACAAATCGAAACATCAAAAAATTGAAAAATTGAAGGAACAAACATCGACAATTAAAATATCGAGAAATTGAAGAATCAAAAAATTGATTAACCCAGAAATAGAAACATCAAAAAATTGAAAAATTAAAAAATCAGGAAATCAAAAAGTCGAAAAATCGAAAGTTCAAATATCAAAAAAATGAAAAATTTTGAAAAATTGAAGAAATAAAAAATTAAAAAATCGATAAATCGGAACGTTAAAATCTCGAAAAAAGGGAAAATCGAAAAATCGGAAAAGTCGAAAAATTGAGAAATCAAAAAATAGGAAAATCAAAAAATAGGGAAATCAAAAAGTCGAAAAATCGATTAATCGCGAAATCGAGAATTCGAAAAATCGAAAACTTGGAAGGGCCAAAATTGGCAAAATTTAAAAATAGTAAAACTGAAAAATCAAAAATTAAAAAAATTGAAAAATTGAGAGAGAATTCGAAAAATCGAAAACTTGGAAGCGCCAAAATTGGCAAAATTTAAAAATAGTAAAATTGAAAAATCAAAAATTATAAAAATTGAAAAATTGAAAAATCGAAAGTCAAAAATTTTAATATTGAAAAAATTAATAAACAGAAAATCCGAAGGACCAAACATCGAGAAATTAAAATGTCGGGAAATTGAAGAACAAAAAAATTGATAAACCCACAAATGGAAACATCAAAAAAATTGAAAAATTGAAAAATCGAGATTTCGGAAAATCCGAAGTCGAAAATTTAAAAACTCGAAAAATTGAAAAACAGAAAAATGGAAGGACTGAAACAACGAGAAATTGAAGAATTAAAAAATTGATAAACCCAGAAAGCGAAACATCAAAAACCCGAAAAATTAAAAAATGGAAAAGTCGAAAAATCATAATAGTGAAATATCGAAAAATGGAGAAAACGAAAACAACACGGATTCATAAGCCACAAATGGAGCAGTACGCTACTTTATAAAATTAAAGTAACATTTACTATTGTAAAATTTGGAGATGACGTCATTTCATTGTTGGTGGGGATAGTCATAGAAATTTTAGTTAGTCGTTTTACCATCTAAAAGTAGAGTAAAACCTTTTCTCTGTGTTACTGGAAAAATGTTTTAACTCATTTTGATCTACACATTAACTGGTTCCATTATTTGTATTAAGATAAAGTGGGTACCATAAATTTATAAAACAAAGTACCCATATAAAAAACTTGGCGATATAAAAAGTTAATAAGTTGAAAGACGTTCTTAAGTTATTAGACGCTAAAGAAATAAATTAAAATTCTGTGAAATATCCGACGCTCGAAATCAAACATCTGTAGTTGATGGGTTAATTTCGTTTTTTTTTTTCTGACGGACCGATATTAATTATTTTCTTCTTTTGTATAATAAAATAAAAAAAAAAACGCATTATAAATACTAGAACACCGAAACCACCCAAAATATTTGTCTGAATCCTTCATTTTCTCCATAAATTCAGTCGACACAATCAACGACTGACCGAAATTTGAATAGCACAAAATCCGCCGCAATTTTTGCGCAAAAATCCCGCTTAACCACCCCCTAAATCACCACTTGTTGCAGCCGTGCTCGTGAGCGACGTTTCGTCCGCAGTGTCGCCGCCCCCATCCTCAAAAATCATCGGCGGTGAATTCGTGGAGCACCAGAGCGACTTCGCGTTCATGGTATTTCCGGCAACCCTCGAAACATCCCCTAACTAGCTGGTTTCAGGTGTCCGTGAGGGTGAATAGGAGGCACATCTGCGGGGGTTCGATTGTAGATTACAGGCATGTCCTAACGGCCGCACATTGCTGCTTTGATGCTGCAAACAAACCATATCCACCCCAAATCATGTCAATTGCAGCCGGAAGTTTGAATATCGGAAGATCGAACAATAATTCGGTGGTGAAAGGCGTGCTGGCAATAATTCCGCACAAGAAATACGACTGGGAGCGCATAACGAACGACGTCGCCGTAATAAAGGTGCGGTTTCTGGTGACCTTATGGCTTATAAATTGAAACAGTAAAAATAAAATAAGTCGTTTTAAGATCCTGGGCCAGTTCGAGCTGTGGAACCGGAACATCAGCGCAATTTCTTTGTCGAATTTCATACGGTCCGGAAGCTGGTGTACGATCTGCGGCTGGGGGATTACGCGGTTTGTAAGGGGATGTTTTATTATTGCGTTAGGGGTGTTATTGGATGAACGTTTCAGAATACGTCGCAAGTCAGTTACCGGCTTCGTTACGTGGATGTTCCTGTAGTTAGTCAAAGCACCTGCGAATTTTATTACCCAGGTCGAATAACCAATAAAATGATATGCGCCGGAGGCAACGGGAGCGATTCATGTCAGGTAAAGTCAACAACGAAGAACACAATGTGGGAAATGGAGTCGGTTAAATTAATGGTTAAGTTTAATATCGATTAACCCGTTTAGACGGGATTAAGTCGATATTATTTATTCGCCAAATACAAAGTTCTATTATCTTGTTAGCGATTCGCGCGTCGATTCTCGGCATATTTGAGTTTGTGTCGAACGTGGTGAACCCTACTCAGTTTCACCATAAACGATCTATGGCACTTAAATTTCGTTACGCCGCTTAGTTACAAGATTCTCTGTTTTAATCAAATTAATTAAAACTTTTCATCTTTGCGGAACTTCCGACGAAACTTCGGAAAATTTACACAGCTTAAAAAATTTTTAAATCGGGTGTCACGATTCTAAGGTGGACATTTCGGGGGGCTACCGAGTGCTCATTGTCGCCAAAGTGATAAGAGTCATCGAATATGTGGTAGCGAGCGAGTGCTTCTATATTTGAAAGATCAACAGAGAGTGATTAAGTGCTTGTTTGAAATTCATTCAGATTTGAATTTTAAAATATCTTAATACCGCTGCTACGATGTCACGAAATAACTTCATATAATTTTTCATATCGGCTTTATGAAAATATCAACAAAAAATTGGTAGAAAATTATGTCGATAGAACTTCCCTCGTCCCTAAAATCCCGCTTTGAAAAATGATAAAAAATGCGATTTTTGTTTTCTCGATAAATCGAGAAATTGAAAATTATAAAAACCGAAAAATCTAAACTTGAAAAGTTCAAAAATAAAAAGAGTAACAAATCGCAACATTAAAAGAATTGGAAAATCTAAAATTTAAAAATTCGAAAAAGTGAAAAATTGGAAAATTAAAAAACTGGAAAAAAATCGAAGAATGAAAAGACGTAACATCGAGAACTTGGAAGATTTAAATCGAAAATCTTGCAGAAAATCGAAAAACCTAGAAATCGGGAAATCTAGACGTCGAAAGATTGAGAAATCGAGAAATCGAAAACTCGAAAAACCAAAATAGCATAAAATCGAAAGATCGAAAAAATAAAAGCTGGAAAAATTGAAAAATCTCGATAAATCCAGAAATAAAAAAATTGAAAAATCTAAAATTAAACAATTTGAAAAATTGCAAAATAGGAAAATTGAAGAAATGAAAAATTGAAAAACTGAGATATTGAAAAATTTTAAATTTAAAAAATCGAAAAATTTAAAAGTCTAAACATTGAGAACTTGGAAGATCTAATAAATCGAAAATCTGGAGAGTCAAAAACCGAAAAACCTAGAAATCGGCAAATTTAAACATTGAAAGATCGAAAAATCGAGAAATCGAAAAGTCGAAACCAAAATAGCATTAAATCGAAAGATCAAAAAAATAATAATTGGAAAAAGGGGAACATTTGAAATAAAAAAAAATCGATAAAACGAAAAACCGAGAAGTGGAAAAATGGAAACATAAAAAACTGAAAAAATTTAACATTTAAAAACTCGAAAAATTGCAGAATAGGAAAGTTGAAGAGCTGGAAAATCGAAAAAAATGAAAATTGAAAAAACCTAAAAATCATGAATCAAAATTTTTTCGTTTATTTCATCCCAAAAAAAACCGACGTCACCACAAAATTTTGACTTTTTTCACTTGAAACAAACGCATAGGAATAATAATAATAAATAACTAAAAAATAACATTCCCAAAATCAAATCTTATAATTTTTCGAAAAATTTGAAATTATCTACCTTCGATCAATATTTGGTTTTTCCTTTTTCTTCGATTTTACAATTTTTTGATCACAATTTTTTATTTTTGCTTTTTCTTTCATTATAAAATTTTCCCATTTTTCAATGTTTTGGTTTCCTCAATTTTTCAAGCTCTTGATTTTATTTTTCATTTTTTCGATTTTATATCACGATTTTTTGTTTATTTATTTCATTTACTCTTTCAATGTTTCTTTCGATTTTAAAAATTTAGTTTAATTTTTAAATTCCTCGGTTTTCCAATTTCTAAAATTTTCAGTTTTGCAATTTTCAGTTTTGCAATTTTTAGATTTATCGATTTTCCTATTTCTTTAAATTTCAATATTTCCATTTTACATTATTTCGTTTTTTCGATTTTGCGCTTTAAGTTTCTCAAAGTTTGATCTTTCGATATTTTTTTCAAACTTTCCATTTAATACTTTTTCGTTTTTTCATTTTTGATGTTTCAATTTTTCAATTGTACTTTTTCCATTTTTTATATTCGAAAAGTTGTAAAATGGAAAAATTGAAAATTCAGAAAATAAAAAATCGAACAAAATTAATGACTCCAAAAATTGTAAAATACGTAACTTGAAAATTTTCACATTGAAAAAACCAAAGTAATAAAATCAGGGCAATGAAAATTGAAAACTGAAAATTGGAAAAATAAAAAAATATTATCCGGAAAGGAAAAATTACAAATCGAAAAATTGCAAGATCTGAAAATTCATCCAAAAATTGGAAAAACCAAAAACTGAAAAATTGAAAATTTGATAAATCAATAAATTGAAACATCGAAAGTTTGAGAACTCGAAAAGTTGACAAGTCGAAAAATCAAAAAATTGAAAAACCTCCATAAATCCAGAAATCGAAAAATTGAAAAATTAAAAAATCGAGACATTTAGAAATCGAAAAATTAAATGAAAAACCGAAAAACCTATAACCTAGAAGGCAACAAATCTAAAACCGAGAAGTCGAAAAATCGAAAGCTCGAAAAACGAAACATCAAAAAATTGGATAATCCAAAACCGAGAAGTGGAAAAATCGAAACATCGAAAAACTGAAAAAAATTAACTTTTAAAAACTCGAAAAATTGCAGAATCAGAAAATTGAAGAGCTAGAAAATCGAAAAATATGAAAATTGAAAAAACCTAAAAATCGAAACGAAAAAAGGTGATTACGATTCATGGTAAATCGTGAATCAAAATTTTTTCGTTAATTTCATCCCAAAAAAAAACGACGTCACCACAAAATTTTGTAAAGGAAAAATTCACTTGAAACGCATAGGAATAATAATAATAATAAATAACTAAAAAATTTTCATTTTTGCTTTTTCTTTCATTTTTAAATTTTTCCATTTTTCAATGTTTTGGTTTCATAATTTTTCGTTTTTCCAATTTTTCAATTTTTCTTTCTCAATTTTTAATTTTGCCGTTTTTCAGTACTTCGTTTTCTCAATTTTTCAAGTTCTTGATTTTATTTTTCATTTTTTCGATTTTATATCACGATTTTTTGTTTATTCATTTCCTTTACTCTTTCAATGTTTCTTTCGATTTTAAAAATTTGGTCTAATTTTTAAGTTTCTTGGTTTTCCAGTTTCTAAAATTTTCAGTTTCGCAATTTTTAGATTTCTCGATTTTCCTGTTTCTTTAATTTTCAATATTTCCATTTCACAATATTTCGTTTTTTCGATTTTGCGCTTTAAGGGCCGGTTGCATAAACGCAAATCAAATCTCCAATCAACTGATTGTCATCAAATATTTAATTATCATCAACTTTGATTGGGTTGCTGAAACAATAATTAAGCCTTTGTTAACTGATTATCATCAAGTCGCTATTTGATAGCGCGCACCAACCGGCAACGCAGCATAAAATGGCATTTGCGTGATATTTTGAGGTTATGTTAAAAATTTACGTTTTGATTCGTTGTTTTGTGGTGAATTGGTGCGGCCTTCGTCGGTGTTTTTGAGGTGTGTTATCTCTTAAAAACATTCAAGATGAGCAGCTCCAGTTCAAAAGCACCTAAGAGATCGAAAAATTTCACCGGGCACGAGAAAAGCGAATTAACCCAAATAATTCAAAGGTAAGTTTTTAGGTAGGTATGTTAAAAAACACCGAAGTTTCTAGTAAAAGTGGTTAACAGCGGTTAGTTAATAGCAAATGAGTTTGATTATTATTAAACAGTTAGCAAACAGTGTCTTGCATTCATTTTTTATACTGAAAAGTCTTTGAAGTTATTTTTATAATGGATCTCAAACAATGAGGTTTCCCGATCCCATTTATACATATATTCCTTTATTAAACCTCTTCCACTTTTATTAATAAAGCTACGAAAACTCCGTTCTCCCGTACCTGGTCCTATCCCGTTTCATCTATTATAGATATGCCCATATAATAGAAAACAAGAAGACCGACGCCGTTTCCGTCAAACAAAAACTGAATTGTTGGGAGGAAATAAAAACCGAATTTAACGCAGTCACTACAGAGGGACCTAGGGATGTTCAGTCACTCAAGACTTTTTACCAAAATACCAAGAGAAGTTTGAAAAAGGAACGGGCTGAAAAGAATGTAAAATACAAATGGAATGTACAATATTTTAGTATTTACAACACAATTAATAATTTCTAGAAAGAAACATATATTTCAATCCTGGAAAATAAGCTGGACAACAGAGGTGAGGGAACCTCCCAGGACACAGGTGAACCAGAAATGGAAATTACGGAAGCTTTACAGGTCCTGGAAACAATACAAAAGGTATGGGTTACCATATTGTAGGTATATCTAGAGTATAGATGACACTCGAAATATTACAGAAAAAGACAAAAAAAACAGGAGGTGGAAGTTACAGCCCCATTTTGCCAACAGGAGCTGACGCAATTTTGGGAGAGTTGTTGGCGGATCAACTCCAGCCGTTAGAAAACAGTTTTGATGATGGGGCACAATATTTTGGTTTGTATACTGGAACAAATGGTCATGCATCTTTTTAATATGATCTTTTATGATATTGAGATTGATTTAAAAAAAATCATTTAGTTTTACAACAGATTTTTTTCCAGGAAACGTTAACAACAGCGAACCCCAAAATCCTTCCTCCTCCATTCCAATCCGCCGAAAAAAATTCCGAGTTCCAAAGAGAAGCGGTTCAAATATTAAACAGAAAATATACGAACGAAAATTATTTTTAGTCAATTTAGAAATTCGTCAGAAGCAAAGACTTTTTCAGAAGGATTTAAAATTAAAAAATTTACAAATTAGGAAGGCAGAATTAGAATTAGAAAAACTTGTTAATAGTAATTAATCAATAGATAGGGTGTTTTTAGTTTTAATTTTAGTTTAAATATAAATTCTTAGAATTAATACTTATTAAACTTCTTCATTAAACTTTCAGAAAATACCGTATTTACAAGATTAGTTTTCATCGTAAATTTGTTTTCCAGGTCGCCATGATATTTTCATCATCATCCAGGCGCTCGACCCAGTGCTGCCGCGTCGACAAATATATTTTCCTTTTGGACTATATCAACATAATATAACATTTCAAGATAACTGTGGTTGAAAAATTAAAAAGGACACCGAGTATTATTATTTGAAGTAATATAGTACTGCAAAAGTAGTATTATTATCAGCTGTGAATACTCCTTACGCGACGCACTGGTGATGGACTACATCAAAGAGTCCCCACTGCTCGCCGTAAAACACACCTTACTTCAACTGGGGGACTGCAGCAGTAAGATATAATTCCGCGTACTCACCATCATCAAATGCAGATCATCATATTGGTTACTATCGACAATGTTGGAAATCGCCAGTTTAAAACTCAATAGCACCTTTCAATTGTGTTTCTGATAACTTTGTGATGTTTCCTCAGCTCGATTTCTAGAGTTAACGAAAGATGTGAGAAGGTATCTCTTGCAGGTGTAACCACTATCTCCAAGAAGATATCCTGTTTTAATTCATCATGGACAGATCCTGGCCAACGGACTAGTATGTGGCGAAATATTTGCGTCACATCTTGAGATTATGTTAAATATTTGTGATCGTTAATGGTGGAAGTTAAAGTTTGTTGTTGTTCTTGGGCTACTGTTCCTCTGAAAATTGTTCACGATGGATAGTACCAAAGTTATGGAAAGGTCGAAAAATTTCACAGCCCATCAAAAAACTCAGTACAAATAATTCTGAGGTAAGTTTTTAAGTACGTTTAAAAACACATAAGTTACTAGTAAAATTGGTTAGACCGCGTTATCAAAGCATAAATTTCACTTTTATCAACGGAAAATCTTTTCTCTCGTGCCTGCCTGTTCTTATCCGGTTTCCTCTTTTGTAGATATGCCCATATATTAGAAAACAGATGCAGTTTCTGTACAAGAAGAGAATGTTGCTGAGAGATCATGTAAGACGAATTCAATGTTACCATCATTGAGGGGCCTAGGGATGTTCAGACTATCAAAATTCGACACAAAACTTAAAAAAGGAAAGGGCTGAAAAAATTAAGTTACAAGCTGGATCTACAATATTTTTATACAATGTGGTTATTAATTTTTAGAAGGAAGCGTTTATTTCTATTAAAACAGACAACAGGGATGAAGGTATGAGTGCAGACGTGGGTGATGGTGAGCTGGAAATGACAAATAAATATAATAGATGAAGATTTGATTTTTTACAAAAAAAAGGTGAAAAAAAACAGATACAGCACAATACTTCGGTTTGTATACTAGGACAAATCGTCATGCATACATGATCTTATAAATCTGACCTCTCATAACGAGATATATTTTCAATAACTTTACTTGTTTTTAACGCATTTTTTTTTTTCCAGGAAATCCTGAACCTCATAGCCCTGCCTCCTCCATTCCGAACGAGAAAAATAAAATCCCCCTTTCCAAGAAAAACAGTGTAATAAAAAATAAAAAATATACAAATGAAAATAATTTTTAGTGAATTTGCAAAATAAACACAAACAAAAACTTTCAAAAAGGCTTACAATTAAAATATTTGCAGATTAAAAAAGTAGAAATCGAATTGGAAAATTCAAATTCAATAATTGGAAATCGAAGAGTTTTTTTTTAGTTTTATAATAATCATTATTAAACATTTTTGTTAAACTCTTTCTGCAAATATAGTATTTACAAGGTGAGTTCTCATAGCAAAATTTCCTTCCATGGGGTCACCACCTATGACTTCATCGTCTTCCTCAATTTCAAGGTGATCTTCTGGCCAGTCATCTTTAAAAATAATTGCCAGGTTATGCAAAATTGCACAGGCGACGATTGCCATCATATTAGTTTTCATTTTTAGTCGCAATCCCATAGACAAAGCTGGAAAGCGACGTTTCAAAACTCCAAAACACCTTTCAACTGTGTTTCTGGTCGCTTTGTGGGAAGCATTATATGCTTCCTCAGCCCTGTTTCTTGGATTAATGAAGGGCGTCAAAAGATATCTTTTGCATGCGTAGCCACTGTCTCCAAGAAGATATCCAGCGCCATACATGCCTCGTTCTAATTCAGGAGGTAACGGACAGTCATTAAAAATGGTGGAATCGTGGACAGATCCTGGCCAGCGAGCTATGATATGTCGTATTTGAAGCTCCGCGTCACAAACTACTTGGACATTGAGCGAAAAAAAACCTTTTCGGCATCTATAAGTTTCAGCCAAGTGTCCACCTGGCGATTGGATTGGTATATGCGTACCGTCTATTGCCCCTATGACACACGGAAAACCCCGGATTTCGAAGAATTTTCTATGTATTGTTGGTATTTCTTGCAAGGTGGGCATTTTCAACACGTCGCCCTTCAATCGCAGTATTTCCTTGGAGACCTTGTAGATTATTCTTGAAATTGTTGATTTATGTACCAAAACAGAGTCCCCAATTAATTGTTGAAACGCTCCTGTTGCATAGAATCTGAGACAAATCAGGAGTTGTTCTCTACTGTTTAGAGCCTTGTTACGGTTTGTCAAGGGATCTAACCGGTCTCCAATCTGATTTAAAATTTCCACCACGCTATTTTTTGAAAACCGATACCTTTGCTTAAAGTCGATATCGTCGTACCTATCGAAAGGATCGGACCTGTCTCGAAAAATTCGAGGTCTTCTAGGAACAGGAACATCGGAATCGTCAGAGGAACTGGAGGACGTTAACGTTAAGGACACGGACATTTTGAGGTAAACTACAATTTACAGCTGTTACAACAAAAAGTATATTTCACATGTATTTAAAATTACCTGAATAAAATTTAATTGAACCTTTTTTGTATTTATTTTCGGTTTTTAGGAGTCGAATTGCTGTAAAACCGCCAGCTGTCAAACTTTAATTACTGCTTTTCGGATAATTAACTAATCGTTAATCAAAATGCGTTTTGATGCTAATCAAGTCCTTGATTGGCGTTTATGCAACGGATGATTGGTGATTTCTGTATTTGACGTATGGATTTGATTGTCATCAAAAAATTTGATGAACATCAACTGATTGGCGTTTGAGCAACGCATTATGTGACTTGATGATTGTTAACTGGATTTAACAATAATCAAATTTTTGATTTGCGTTTATGCAACCGGCCCTTTAAGTTTCTCAAATTTTGATCTTTCGATATTTTTTTTCAAAGTTTTCATTTTATACTTTTTCGTTTTTTCATTTTTAATTTTTCAATTTTTCATTAGCATTTTTTCCATTTTTTTTATTTGAAAAGTTGGAAAATGGAAAAATTGAAAATTCAGAAAATAAAAAATCGAACAAAATTAATGACTCCAAAAATTGGAAAACTCAAAAAATTGTAAAATACGTAAATTGAAAATTTTCACATTGAAAAAACCAAAAAAAAAAATCAGGGCAATGAAAATTGAAAATTGGAAAAACAAAAAAATATTATCCGGAAAGGAAAAATTGCAAATAGAAAAATTGGAAAAACAAAAATCTGAAAAATTAAAAATTGAAAACTCGTGAAATTACAAATCGAAAAATTGCAAGATCTGAAAATTCATCAAAAAATTGGAAAAACCAAAAACTGAAAAATTGAAAATTTGATAAATCAATAAATTGAAACATCGAAAGTTCGAGAACTCGAAAAGTTGACAAGTCGAAAAATCAAAAAATTGAAAAACCTCCATAAATCCAGAAATCGAAAAATTGAAAAATTAAAAAATCGGGACATTTAGAAAACGAAAAATTAAAAATTTTAAAAATCTAAAAATTGAAAAATCGAAAAACCTATAACCTAGAAGGCGACAAATCTAAAGCTCGAAAAACGAAACATCAAAAAATTGAAAAATCTAAAATTTAAAAATTCGAAAAATTACAAAATAAAAACAATGAAGAACTGAAAAATCGAAAAACTGCGAAATCGAAATATCTAAAATTTAAAAAATCGAACAATTAAAATTCCGAAAAATGTTCGAAATATCGAAAAACATCAAAAGATCTAAAAGTCGAAAAGTCGAATAACCGAAAAAATCGAGAAATCAAAATAGCATCAAATCGAAAATTCGAAAAATCGATAAATCGAAACGAAAAATCGAAAACTTTAAGAATCAACATGTAAATTCCCAAAAGTGAAATTTAAAAATTAGAAAAATGGCCACAAAATTGGAGAAATTGAAAAAACTAAATGAAATTAAAAAAAAAATAGAAAAATTAAAATGTCGAATAACTAAAGAACGGAAAAATCTAAAAATCGAAAAATTTATGAATTTGCATGAAATATTTAATTATCATTAAACATTATTTAATATTAATATATTAATCGAAACAACAAAATATTGAGAAGTGTAGAATCGAAAAAACCGATTTAAAAAATTGAAAAATTAAAGTGGTAAATCGAATCGAAAAATCAAAAAAATCAAAAATCAACATGAATAATCCCAAAACTAAAATATCGAAAAATTGAAAAATGGAGAATCGAAAATTTTAAAAATCGACAAATTGAAAAATCAAAAATTTGAACGGTCGAAAAATTGAAAAATCAAAAAATTGTGGAGTTGAAAAACACATTGAAAAATCCAGGAATCGAGACGTCAAACAGTCTAAACATCGAAAAGTCGAGAAATCGAGAAATGGGAAAATAAAAAATGAAGTAATCAAAATCGAAAAATCGATAAATCAAGAAATCGAATAATAAAAAATCGAGAAATTGAAGAATCGAACACTTGTGAAATAGCAAATTGAAAAATAGGGACATAAAAAAATAGAAAATTTTTTACCATTTTGATTGTGGATATTTATAAAATTTAAATAACATTTACTAATGTAAAATTTGGAGACGACGTCATTCTATCTGTATAATATAAACGGAAACACACGACGAATAGACAGACAGACACACGGACAGACAGACAAACGGAAACGGCATACCTATTTTCTCGTGGTGTGTGGGTCATGAAACGTCGAGAAAATATGAAAGCAGCCAGTCGCCCGATGGACTCGATTACAATATTTTGCAAAAAAAAAAATTCAGGACATCGATAACGATAATCCAACTTCAGACAAACACACGAGTTTAAATTGCTCTGTATTTGCGTTACCGTGTAGAGTAGAAATACTTTGAGAATAACACAATATGTATTTTTTGGAATGCCCCCATTTCAGAACGCACTAGTCATCCGTAAATACGAACAAGGAGAAACGAATGAGGATCATGATCCGAGAATTTTCAAGAATCCTACTTTGTGGAAGTATCCAATAACACCGTTTACGAAACGCATCATTGCGGAAAATGGACCAGTTCAAATACGAAAAAAAAACAATTTCCCGAAGAGAACAACAACATAAAATTTTCATCACTCTATTACACTCGAGTTTAAAAAAACGCTGAAGAAATTAATCGCTTTGGGTTAATTTACTCCGTATTCAGTTTTTGCTGTAAATATTTGGTCAAGATGAAATGACAATAAATCAAACAGTAAGGGTTTTAATGAGTATTTAATGTAGGAATTCTTCTGTTGATATAGGTGGTATTTTTCGTACACTCTGTACAGTACAGCAGCACCGACCTTAATCATCCGGGATTACCCAACAAGACCGTTACAATAAAATGCTCAACATCACAATGGATAATCGTTAAAACAAACACACTCGATGATAAGCAGTGATAGCACTTCACTTGTAATTATCTGCACACTTTTCGAATCTCGCCATGTTAATTACGCGGCGGTTAAATTCCTCAACTTAATTAATTCCTCAAAGCCATTTAGTCCCTATCTCTATATTTACAACTTTCTTCCAATAACTTTTGCAACTCCTTTCTCCTCGTCGTAATTCAAAACTCGCAAACAAGCGAAGACGCTGATAATAAGAAAGTTACCATGCAAACGTAGTCCTGATTTAGCTCCAATTAATTAGGCGCTATCGATACCTTCACACACGGCACGCCCCTGTAATCGTTTAATCTCCAGAAATCCTTAATTAAGCTAACAAATTATTTTCGTGATTCTGTTAACAACAAAGGGATAAACGTATGACGGAAACAGGCTTGTTTACGCTAATTTTTGCCAAACACTCTTAAAGAAATTAATTTCAGGGGGACTCAGGGGGACCATTAATCTGCGGAGGTGTCCTTGCAGGAATCGTTTCTTGGGGAAGTGACTGCGGCGTTTATCCCGGAGTGTACACAGCTGTGGCACCGTATAAATCATGGATACGAAAATATATTGATAATTCTTCATCTTCTTGGATTACTCCATCTGAGCGTCAAGCCTGCCTCGTAATCCTTCAGGTCCTGTTTGCGTATTATATTGTCTAATAAAGGAAAAATATTTTTATCTCTCTGGTTTTACTATCGCCGCAATAATTACCCTATTCAAGATTTGCCCCCGGCTTAAGCGAAGAAGCTCTTTACGACTTATTCACTTTTAATGAGTATTGTAATTGCTCCATTACGTCCGAAATTAACAACGATTTTCGGGTTCATTGTAATTGTCATATGATTAGGTAAATCTCTGCGACTACGTGTTACATGTAAATAAGATTATGGGATTTTCGTTCTTTGACAAAGCAACTCAGACCACGTCGATTCACCAGTTAGATCTCGCAGGCGATATGGACTCCAAGTCTCACGAAAATGTGTTCGACGGGGTTATGGTTCAAGTGGGTGATTCGGGAAAGTTCCAGAAGTGGTACAACATTATATTTAACTTGATTTTCGTCGGATTCGCCACGATGGCCAACTTCAACGTGATCATATGTCTCGCGACCCCAGAACATTGGTGCAAAGTTCCCGGACGCGAACTCACGAACTTCACGATAGAAGAATGGAAAAACCTAACGATCCCGCGGTAAAACTCCCGAATTCACCCATTCCCGAAGTACATTTTTGATTTTCCCAGAAACGAACTGACCGACGCATTCCATACCTGTAAGATGTTCAACTCCACCCAAGAACGTGACGCAGTAGTCGGTAAGAATTACCTTCGTTTCGCGGTAAATATAATGAGTAGTTTTGTCTGGGGAAAAAAACCGCAAGGAATGACTACAAGATACGCGATACGGATTCAAACTTCACCTAATAAAACTTCAAGACAAAAATAGTTTAAGCTAACTCCCTTCGCTCGTAAATTATATAGCGAATCCCTGTCTATATTTAAGTGGATAATTTATAGACAACAGATAAGTGCTTTACAACCAAAGTATCATATTCCACCCATAAAAATAATGCGTCTGTTTTTCTTTTTATGGGTGTTTCTCTTTTTTAGAACGAGTGTATCGCGCCCTAAATCTCACTCCGCCAAACTAGTTTTAGCATAAGTCATAAATCAACCCTTTATTGACACGAATTTGTAAAAGTCGACGATTCAGAAACTCCCTTATTTATCAAGTTAGATTTTTTAAGAAAAAAAATAGCATATGACAATTTCTAGAAATATTTTTTGAATTAACTTGTCAAGATCTATGTTCCAGAATTTTTCGTGAATTTTTAGGCAACTTTTCCAAAAGCTCAATTTTTCAACATGAGATTTTATGAATTTTTTTAATTTTAAAAATAAATTCGCAAAATCAAATTTTATAATTTTTGGAGAAAGCTGGATATGTACTTCAAGTGCGAGGGAAATTCTATAACCTTCGACCATTGTACGACCACACCTACTACAACGGAACCATTGAAAAAACAAAAAATTGAAAAAATTGAAAAAACTGAATTTCAAGAAATGAAACATTAAGAGTCGATTTCAATTTTGCATTTTTTCCATTTTTTTGATTCGAAAAGTTGTAAAATGGGAAAATTGAAAATTGAGAAAATTAAAAATCGAACAAACTTAATGAATCGAAAAATTGGAGAATTGTAAAATAAATAAATTGAAAAATATCCGGAAAGGAAAAATTACAAACTAAAAAATTGAAAAATGAGAACTTGAAGTCGTAAAAATTGCAGAAACAGAAAAAAAAGAGAAATTGAAAATTCACAAATCGAAAAATTTAAAAATCAACAGAAAAAATCATAAAACTGAAATATCGAAAAATTGGGAAATGCAAATACCATGAAATTAAAAAATCGAAAAAATAATTGTAAAAATTGTAGAACTTAAAATTAGATAAATCGAGAAATCAAAAAATGAAAAATCTCAAAAAATCCAGAAATCGAAAAACCGAAAAATTAAAAAATGGGAACACTTAAAAAGCGAAAAATAAAAAATTCTAAAAGCCGAAAAATATAAAATTTTGTTTTTTTTTTAAATCAACAAGATAAAATATGGAGAAATGGAATAATCGTAACGACATTTGTCGAAATAAGTCTTATCTTAGCAAGTACTAGCCCCGCCCACCCACCCTTTATTTTCTTAGAAGGAATGTCGTTTGCCAAAATCAGTCTTATCTTACCAAGTACTAGCCCCACCCACCCACCCTTTGTTTTCTTAGAGAATATCTCATTTGCTAAATCAGTTTTATCTTACCAAGTATTAGCCCCACCCACCCGCCCCCTATTTTCTCAGAGGATATGACGTTCGCCAAAATCAATCTTATCTGAGCAAGTACTAGCCCCACCCATCCGCCCTTTATTTCCTCAGAGGGTAGTACTTGCTAGTACTTGCTAAGATAAGTCTTATTTTGGCAGATGACATATCTTCTGAGAAAATAGGGGCGGGTGGGCGGGGCTAGTACTTGCTCAGATAAGACTGATTTTGGCAAATACCATAACCTCCGAGAAAATAGAGAGGGAGTAAAGAAAGTTATATTGCAATTATGTATTCTATTCACTTATAAATTTTTTCTAAAATTCCTGGATATCTAGGGTGAAAATTCGACACGGACTCACACATCTTATTTTATAAAATAAAAAAAAAATTTATTATAAATTTTGAAGATGACGTCATCAAATTCTTGGTGGGGATAATTAGGCAAATTTTAGTTAGTATTTAATCATCTACATTCTACATGATATTTCTAACATATGTGCAAAATTTGACAACAATCGGTCCAGCAGTTTCAGAGATTACGTGTCTAATAAAAATGGATACTAACAGACAGACAGACAGACAGACAGACAGACAGACAGATGGAAACGGGAGACCACTTTTTTCGTACTCTAAGGTCATGAAACGTCGAGAAAATATTAAAGTGGCAATTCGTCCGATGGGCTCGATTACTATACTTTCTTAGCTTAAGCTCGAGAAGTAATAAAAAACACAAGAAAAATGAAAAACTGAAAAATCGAGAAATCGAGAAAATCTAAAATTTAAAAAATAGAAAAATTAAAATGTCGAAAGATCAGAAATCGAAAAATTGAAGAGATAAAATATGGAGAAAAACTTAAATAATTAAAAAAATAAAAATTGTAAAATTTAAAATTGAACAGAATAACGTTAATCGAAAATTAAAAAAACTGAAAGATTAAAAATTGAGACATTTAAAAATCGAAAAATCAAAAATTTTAAAAATCGAAAAATTGAAAAACCGAAAAATCTGTAACCTCTATCGAAAAAATAAAAATTGTAAATATTTAAAAAAATAAATGTTGAAAAATCGAAAAATCGAACAAATGAAAAGATAAATTATGTGGAAATGGATAAATCGAATCGAAAAATCGAAAAATCATCAAAAATTCCAGGATTGAAAAATCGAAGAACAAATTGAGGAATCGAAAAATTGAAAAATCGAAAAATCAAAGCTTAAAAAAATCGAAAAATCTAAAATTTAAAAAATCGAAAAGGTAAAATATCGAGATCTCTTAAAATCGAAATGAGAAATCAAAAAATTTATGAATTTGCATGAAAAATCTCAAAACTTAAATACCCAAAAATCCAAAGATCGAAAAGTTGATAAGTCGAAAAACCAAAAAAATCGAAAAATCGAAATAGCATCAAATCGAAAATCGAAAAAATAAGAATGGTAAAAATTGAAAAATATAAAATTAAAAAAAAAACTTTGCAAACTAAAAAACTGAAAAATCGAGATATCGAGAAAATCTAAAATTAAAAAAAACAGAAAATTTGAAATGTCAAAAAGTTGAAGAATCAAAAAATTGAAAAGATAAAATATCGAGAAATCGATAAATCGAAACAAAAAACCAAAAAATTGAAGAGTTGAAAAATTAAAAATCCAGGAATCGAGACGTCGAAGTGTAGAAACATCGAAAAGCCAAGAAATCGAGAAATCGGAAATGGGAAAATCAAAAATAGAGCAAACGAATTCGAAAAATCGTCAATTAAGAAATCGAAAAATAAAAAAAGCGAGAAATCGAAAATTAAAAAAAAAAACGAGAAATTGAATCAAATAACTGAAAAATTCTAAAACTGAAATATCGAAAAATTGAAAATTCGAAAGTTGAAAAATAGAGAAACCGGAAAATTGAAAAGCCGAAAAATAGGCAACTTTTCCAAAAGTCTAATTTTTCAACACGAGATTTTATGAATTTTTTAAATTTTTTTGAGCAGAAATCGCTAAAAATAAATAGTGCAGTTTTTAGAATACTTTATTATTATATACATATCATAATTTTAATTTACAGGGGTTGTTATAAAAAACAAAATTCGCAAAATCAAATTTTATACTCCTAATTTTTGGAGAAAGTTAGATTATACTTCGAGTGCGAGGGAAGTTCGACCAATTTTTTCATTAAATTGCAGAGTGCACCCATGGCTGGGAATACGACCACACGTACTACCACGAGACCATCGTCAGCCAGGAGAACTGGGTGTGCCAGGAGGACATGAGAGCACCCAATTTCCTAGTCTTTGGAAAAATAGGAGAAATTCTAGGAACCATATTTTCCCAACTGGGAGACATGTAAATAAATTCCGACTCTTCCAGAATCTCTTAACCTGATTACATTCTTCAAGATACGGCCGACGACCCATCATATACGCCGCCATAATCACCTTATTAATAGGTCGTCTGGGGCTTCTCGTGTCCAAGGGGATCTTCATCCTTTTCGCAATTTTTTCCTTGATCGGGAACCTATCCGCTTTGCCCTTGTTCCAGACCCCTTTGGTCATCTCGGTAGAAATATCCAGCGACAAAGATCGGGCTTCCATTCCCCTTTTACAATGCATAGGATGGACGGTGGGTCTGTGCATAGCACCCATGATCTTCTGGGCGGTAGGAGGCTGGGTACCATTTCTAATAATCACCAGCGTGCCTGTATTTTTCTTCATGTTTATTCAGAGGTACGTGTAGTACTAAAGTCAGATTGGTGGTAATTTTTGTTGTAGTTACATGATCGAGTCGCCGCGGTGGCTAGCCACGAAAGGAGAAACGAAGAAGTGTGTCAAAGAGTTGAAAAAAATTGCTAAAATTAACGGTACCACCATTAGTGATAAAGTGATTGAGTCTCTCAATGAACAGATATCAACACCCGAGAAGAGTTATGGTATAATGAGCTTGTTCTCTAGTTGGAACTTAGCAAAAATATCTATCAATACTATTATTGGATGGTTGGTACGACTGGATGCGTCTTCGTGATACAAATTGCTGTTTTAGGGTGTGCTTCATTTGCTTGTACTTAATTCTGTACTTCAACGTTAGCAACTTGAAAGGAAATCCTTTCCTGAATTACTTCTGGCAAGGACTTGCCGAACTGCCGGGTTATTTCGTCGGAAAGTACTTAAGTGACGCTATTGGAAGAAAGTACACCAAGTTTTTATCTTTGGTGGCTATTGCAATCGTAGCCGTAATCTTAGCCTACGTTTTAACAGGTACATAATTACTAATTTGATTTCAATGATTCACTCTATATCTATCTATTACAGTTTCTGGAAACGTCATCGTTATTTCTGTCTGCGGAATCATCATGAAACTGGTATCTTCGATAGTTTTTTACGCGATAAATCTACAAACACTCGAGATTTACCCCACTTGTTTGCGGCAAACGGGGTACTCGATGGGTTTCACGGTAGCCAACATTTTCGGGATTTTCACACCATATGTGACATATCTGGTACGACACCACTTTTTATCGCAAGAATCATAACAAAACCAATACAAGCTTTGCTTTTTCCCGTCCGGTGTAATAATTCCGTTATTTTGCGCAGGGAACAACAATCCACGGCAGCTTCCCCTACGTCGTAATCGCCTCCCTGGCCCTCATAGGTGCGATATCCGGCATGTTCATCCCCGAAACCCTAAACGAGAAACTCCCAGAGACCATCAGCGAGGCCGAGCAATTCGGCGCCGATCAGAAAATCTGGAGCTTCCCCAAACGCAAAATCTCCACGCACAAAATTGTATCGAGCGAGGAAATATAAATGTGATAAATGTAACGGCGCTTTTATTACGTCAACGAAATAATTGTCTCGGTCAAATGACCCTCACAATTGCAAAAACCGATAACGTGCACCTACGTTCCGAAATACTGCCCAGTTTAATTTCGATTATGACGAACGCAGAATGAATTTATTTCGTGATCGTTATCGGGCAACATACAGTCTCCCATTGTTCAGATGACTAATCAAAATCGATGCTCGAATGCCCCCGAGCACGTAAAACTGTGTGTATTTTGGCCCAGATAGCTTATCTTATCACGTGCAAAATCAAATGCACTTTCAAAAATCGGACAGTCGGGTAGTGAGGTGTTTTTGTGTCGAGTTGAGCTAAAGATGCCGTTGTTTGGTGTTAACATGGCCATTCCGGTGAAGGAACACGTCAGAGAGAGTCGGATTTATTTCTTGGTCAGCACGGAGAGCGTGCCCCCGGATAATCAAACCGTCCAACGGAAGTATCTGATTTTTAAAACTGTCGAACTGGTAAGTTGGCTCGTAAGAATTTCAGATGAGTTGTTTGATTCGAGTTCCGCGCTTCTTTGTATTCCCAACGTTTTCACTTCGAAGCAAGATATTAGTATTCTCTTTTCTAAGTTATTTTAATTAAGGCCAATTGCAACCCGTTCGTTCTGCTCTTTAGTCAAAAGCGTCATTTTGCAAACTGCATACAAAATGTTAGAAAGTGATACTCCCTCCCGACCAAATAAATGCTAACTTTCCCGTTTCGTTTCAGATTCTGTCTTTGTGTTCTCTAATGCTGTTTGCTTACAGCATGCGAGTAACAGAAAATGAAATTCTGGACATGTTAAAATACATTGCTCTTGGTGGGCTCACAATTTATCCACTTTTGTTCATATTGTTGAACGTGAACGTAGAAAGAAAACCCGTCGTTTCAGTAAGCACATTTCATGCTACTATAATAGTGCAACATGTCATAATATTTTTTACAGATAATATTAAATGCGTCAGCGGCAGTTTTATTTTTTACGATTGGAGCAACTACCATGTGGTCATCGTGGGGTCAATCGACGCGCTTTCAGCGACACGATAAAGTAAAATCTTTTGAAACGACCATGCAGTTGCGATCGTCATTTCTCATAGTTGTGTGTGGGTTTTTTTATTTTATAGAATCCCTCTTAATGTGTATTGGAATACGAAATCCGGCTTCTGCTAATTAAATACGTGTTCGCGAGGTTGTTGTATTGTTTTTATCGTAATTTCGTAATACAAATATTCGAATCAGTGTTTATGATATACCTACTTTTACAAACATTTGTACTGTGATATGAATTTCAATAAAGTATTTTAATGCGTGTGTACTCTTTATCTATATTTTGACTGCTGTTTAATTTGTGATTAAAGTGCAACGCTTTTAGTGACATATGTTAGTCAATCATGTTTTACATAATTCTGTAGCCCGACATTCTATTCACTTTCATTCTGTTGGATGGATATATTTGCTAAATTATTGTGTCCTTTTGCCAAATCCATTTCCAAACAAAGTCTGTCTCCGTAATATTTTTGAGTAACCTGAGTTTACAAATTATTTTCTAGACTTTTAAAAAAGTCTTCGGTAAAGTTGTAAAATGGATTTTTACCGGTAGCGGCACTTTCGCCACTTCCTCTTGACTTGACTGTCAAACATGTATTATTCTGTCACAAACCAAACACAAAAAGTGACGTTTATTTGAGGTTATGTTCAGATTTATTTAACTCGCCGGAACGTAATTTAAGTGAAAAAACATTGCTGCAAAAATGTCCGAAGACGTCCAGAGGCACTCCGTGCACACTTTAGTGTTCCGCTCCCTAAAACGCTCCCACGACATGTTCCTTTCAAACCAGGGCATCCTGCCCCCAGTGGACGACAAAGCGTAAGTTTTAACCCCCATTTATCCCCCCGTTACAAATTTCTTTCAGCGATAATCTCCGAAAAGCCGTGAAAGCCCGAGACCTCTACGGACTCGTCTTCGACGACGTGAAAAAAATGCAAGCTATGAAGCACCTGCGAGAGGCTGAAGCCGGCCCGAATCCGCCACCACCAGGGACTCGAACCGAAAATTCCACCGTTAGTAACGAAAGCGCGGTGGTGCCTTACACCGACACCAGTCTCATGACTCGTGCAGTACAAAATAATACCCAGAATCAACTGGCCAACATCGTCAAGAAGGTCCCCACGATGCCGAAACCCAAGTGGCACCCGCCGTGGAAGCTGTTCCGGGTGATTGCGGGCCATTTGGGGTGGGTGAGGTGTGTGGCAGTGGAGCCAGGCAACGAGGTACGATTTCAACTTGTTAAAATCGCAAATAATTGTTTTGGTTGCAGTGGTTTGCTACAGGAGCGGCAGATCGAATTATAAAAATCTGGGACCTTGGGAGTGGACAGTTGAAAGTGTCTTTAACCGGGCACGTGAGTACGGTCAGAGGGTTAGCTGTGAGTAACAGACACCCGTATTTGTTCAGTTGCGGCGAAGACAGACAGGTGAAGTGTTGGGATTTGGAGTATAACAAAGTCATCCGGCATTACCATGGACACTTATCAGCGGTGTACTCGTTAGCGCTTCATCCTACTATTGACGTTTTATTGACGGCAGGGCGCGATTCCACGGCGAGAGTCTGGGATATGAGGACTAAAGCAAACGTGCACACTTTGACGGGTCACACGCACACCGTGGCAAGTGTGATCGCACAAGCGTCAGAACCACAAGTTATTACAGGCTCCCACGATACCACAATCCGGTTGTGGGACTTGGCGGCCGGAAAATCCATTTGTACTCTCACCAACCACAAAAAAAGTGTCAGGGATGTTATTTTTCACCCAACTTTGTGAGTTCGTCGTGGTTTTTGTTGATTTTTCGCTAATGTGTTTTTCTAGGAACATGTTTGCGTCCGGGTCTCCTGATAACATAAAGCAGTGGAAGTGCCCAGATGGCAAGTTTATCCAGAATTTGTCCGGGCACAATGCTATAGTGAATTGTTTGGCGGTGAACGCGGAAGGCGTTCTGGTGTCAGGGGGCGACAACGGTACACTGCATTTCTGGGACTGGAGAACCGGCTACAATTTCCAAAGGTTACAGGTATATTTGTCAATATTGTGTATCTTCTGCTGGTACATATTTAATTTCCAGGCTCCTGTGCAACCTGGATCCATGGACAGTGAAGCCGGAATATTTTCAATGATTTTTGACAACTCTGGTTCAAGATTAATCACAACTGAAGCCGACAAGACTATTAAAATTTACAAAGAAGACGACACGGCGACTGAAGACAGCCATCCCATCAACTGGAAACCAGACATTCTGAAGAGGAGGAAGTTCTAAGGACATTGTCGTGCTCTAGATTTTTAATTTTATAAAAAAAAAAGTTAAATTTATCAATAAATAACAGATATGAAGAATTAGTCAAATTAGTAGTGTCTAGGCTGGAATGAATCTTTTCAAGGTAAAGCAAAGCCCAATCATATTTCTTCGTTTAAATCATAATCTTCTTCAGGAAAATCGCCACATTCCACGTTGTGGGGCTTCACAAAAGCGCCGTAATTATTCGCGCATTCGAAATACGTCTTTCCTTTAAATCTGAAACATTTTGAGTAATTTTAGTCAAAAATTAGTGATCACTCACGTTCCATTGTTTTTTCCCAAAGGTTCATCATACTTAACTCCCACCCAATACCCAGGGAGTGTTTCCACGGCTCCCGTGTACATCACCGTCCCCAGTCTACACGGAGCATTAGAAACTGTTACTTTACACCTAGAACCAATCGGAGTACTTTCAGCTAGCTGTTTTTCTTCAGCTAGTTGCTTTTCTTTCTTTTTGATATTCTCTTCATTATATTGACCCATTTTGTTCTTTAATAAAAACGCCCTCACAGAGTCAGTTTTCTTGGAATATTCTTCTTCAGAGTATTCGAATTTTTGCACGTCGCCAAAGTCTAACTCGTTTCTGATGCTAAATTTATCGACGACGTGCAATCTCATTCCATCATCCAGTGGGTACGAACCCAGAAGGGCCTCGTTATTTGACAGGGAGCAGATGTGTTTGTTATCTTTGTCATAAGCTTCTACTTGCATGGTATTGCAATTACCGCCTGTGATTAGCTCCAGCTTTGCCTGAAAAAAAACATCAACCCAATTGGTTTGTTCAAAAATTAATGCGCTGTTTACTTTTAGATCCGATATGGTTAGATCCTTGGGGAAACGTTTCTCGTTAAATGATATATCATCCTTTGAAGTGGAGATGTAGACTTTTAGAAAATCCGGCGTAACCACTTTGAAATCGGCCATTGTAATACGAAATGATTTAATTAATGAAAACTTTTAATTTGTCACCCCACACCTCCCACACCTTTTGGTGGTGTTTGCCGATTGCGGAATGTGACAAATGACATTGTTGACAGTTGTCCACGCAACCAACGTTACACTAAACAAAAATATCAAAAATCACTAATAAAAGTAATTTTAAATGATTGGTATAATTATTATTGTAAACAAGTGGGTAATCATTAATTATAAAACATTTGTGTGATTTTTGCGTTGTTACTTGTCAATTTAAAGATTAATAAAATTACTTGGCTTGCGTATAGTGTGTTGCCTACGTGACAGTATTCAGGCGTAAATAAAAATAAGCACTCTGTATTTAATCTGGTATACAATTTACATTTTGCCTTTTTTTTTAATGTGTAGACTTCTTTTCACAAGAAGAAACTTAAAATATGTTTAAAATGGAAAATTTATATAAGGAAATATCGCTTTTGCAATTAGGTTCCACCCATAATTGTAAAATCCATATTTCCTTGTAAAAATGTACCAATGTAACCATATTTTAAGTTTCTTGTTGTGAAAAGATAGCTACGTATATTAAGAAAACAAAAAGGCAAAATATTAGCCCCGCCCACCCGCCCTATCTCAAATCTGATGATTTTTTTATTCGTCGTCTACCAAGGTGGCGGAGGTTAACTGCAAAATCCTTATTTCTCTACGAGAAATTAAAAAATGTTTTTGAGTATCGTGTTGTTAAAAAAATACTATGTATATTAAGAAAAAATTAAAGCCCACCCACACTTGCCTTGATCTAAATAGTAATGGAGTTTTCGTTCATTGACAAACTAGGGGCGGAGTCTAATTGCAAAATCCATACTTCCCTACAAAAAATTACCATTTCAAACGTGTTTTAAATTTCTAAGAATAAAATAGATCATCACAATTGAGATGGGGTGGGTGGGGGGGATTATATTTTGCCTTTTTTCTTAATTTACATAGTGTTCTTTGAACAACACGATAGTTAAAAACATGTTTTTAATTTCTTGTACAGAAATAAGTATTTTGCAGTTAAGCTCCGCCCTCTTGGTTCTCGGCGAATAAGAAAAAATCATTACAATTAAGACAGAGCGGGCGGGCGGGCTCACATTTTGCCTTTTTGTTTTCATATGTGTAGACTTCTTTTCGCGACAAGAAACTTAAAACACGTTTAAAATGGAAAATGTGTATAACGAAATATCAATTTTGCAATTACGCTCCCTCCCCCATAATTGCAAAAATCCATGTTGCCTTGGTAAAAATGTACGATTTTAACCATATTTTAAGTTTCTTGTTGTGAAAAGATGGCTACGCGTATTAAGAAAAAAAGCAAAATATTAGCTCCGCCCACCCGCCCTATCTCATTTCTGATGATTTTTTTTATTCGTCGTCTACCAAGGGAGCGAAGCTTAACTGCAAAATCCTTATTTCTCTACGAGAAATTAAAAAAATGTTTTTGATAATCGTGTTGGTAAAAAAATACTATGTATATTAAGAAAAAATTAAACCAAAAGATTAAGCTCCACCCATACTTGCCTTGCTCTAAATAGTAATGGAGTTTTCGTTCATTGACAAACTAGGGGCGGAGTCTAATTGCAAAATCCATACTTCCCTACAAAAAATTACCATTTCAAACGTGTTTTAAATTTCTAAGAATAAAATAGATCATCACAATTGAGATGGGGAGGGTGCGGGGGGGGATTATATTTCGTCTTTTTTCTTAATTTATTTCTTTGAATAACACGATACTTAAAAACATGGTTTTAATTTCTTGTAAAGAAATAAGTATTTTGCAGTTAAGCTCCGCCCTCTTGGTTCTCGGCGAATAAGAAAAAATCATTACAATTGAGACAGGGCGGGTGGGCGGGCTCACATTTTGCCTTTTTGTTTTCATATGTGTAGATTTCTTTTCGCAACAAGAAACTTAAAACACGTTTAAAATGGAAAATGTGTATAACGAAATATCAATTTTGCAATTACGCTCCCTCCCCCATAATTGCAAAAATCCATGTTGCCTTGGTAAAAATGTACGATTTTAACCATATTTTAAGTTTCTTGTTGTGAAAAGATGGCTACGCGTATTAAGAAAAAAAGCAAAATATTAGCCCCGCCCACCCGCCCTATCTCATTTCTGATGATTTTTTTTTATTCGTCGTCTACCAAGGGAGCGAAGCTTAACTGCAAAATCCTTATTTCTCTACGAGAAATTAAAAAAATGTTTTTGAATATCGTGTTGGTAAACAAATACTATGTATATTAAGAAAAAATTAAACCAAAAGATTAAGCTCCACCCATACTTGCCTTGCTCTAAATAGTAATGGAGTTTTCGTTCGTTGACAAACTAAGGGCGGAGCTTAATTGCAAAATCCATACTTTCCTACAAAAAATTACCATTTCAAACGTGTTTTAAATTTCTAAGAATAAAAAAGATCATCACAATTGAGATGGGGTGGGCGGAGTGGATTATATTTTGCCTTTTTTCTTAATTTACAAAGTATTCTTTGAACAACACGATAGTTAAAAACATGTTTTTAATTTCTCGCAAAGAAATAAGTATTTTGCAGTTAAGCTCCGCCCCCTTGGTTGTCGGCGAATAACAATTCATTACAATTGAGATAGGGCGGGTGGGCGGGCTGACATTTTGCCTTTTTGTTTTAATATCTGTAGACTTCTTTTCACAACCAGAACCTTAAAACATGTTTAAAATGGAAAATTTGTATAAGTAAATATCGATTTTGGAATTAGGCTCCGCCCCATAATTCCAAAATCCATATTTCCTTGTAAGAATGTACGATTTTAACTGTATTTTAAGTTTCTTGTTGTGAAAAGATGGCTATGTATATTAAAAAAAAAAAAACAAAATATAATGACTCTGTATTCTAGTGGAATAACCTATCTCAAACTGAAGAAATATACAATCAAAAATATCAATTACAGGCTCAGTGTTTTGTGAATATCGAAATAACAGCCGTTTTATTTATACACAAAATGGCATCGTGTATTACTGGTTGTATACAATTAGACATCTCGTGGAGACTAACGAAATTAGCCATATTTTTGAAAGTAAGGGGATTTTTGTATATTCCTAAATTAACAGCAAAATTCTTTGTAAAAAAATAAAGCGATTTAGTCATAATTTTATTGCTTTCACCATGTGCATAGTCTCATTTATAAAAAATACAATATGAATATTCATACTTTCACCTTTTAAATATTTAATCTTACAAATATACAAATAAATTGATACCTATTGCTCAATTTCAGTTCTGTGTAGTTTGAAGGAAGTTCCAGACCAAGCTTTTTCCTACGAAATACCACTACGCAAAAAAAACGCCAAATAAATACACAAAAAGCTTATCTACAACGGTTTAGTGCCCAACAATACACACATGTTTAATCTAACGGCGTTATTTTAACGGAAGATCTGTAATTCCTGTTACCTCTAGCTCTAGCAAAATCTCCACTCTGATATGGAAGAGCTCTCATATTCCCATAATATGGAGCCTCAAAAGGGGAAATCTGATAAACGTTTTGGTTCACCTTCGGCGGTGACCTATCTCGCCACATAATCGCAATTAACGTATAAAACCCATTAATTGTATTCATTATCAGCTTCATAAAGCTGATAATAATGGGACTGCAAACTTTAACAAAACCCGACATTTCATGCACCAACTTCAAAACATAATCAAGTAAATACTGAATTGCATGTACGAAGAACGTAACAAGAGCAGACACTAGAAGAAACAAAAAAATCGCTGTCTGTTTAATATTTTCCCACGTCACCGTTTCCGTAAAAAAATCACTAAACCTCTCCTTAAAAAAATTATTTAGCTTGAGCCCCAACCCTTTAATATCACTGTGAGACACGTCCTCGAGAATCTGTTGCGGCGTGATGTTATGAACGGGCGTTTTTTCCCTAGACACGGGTCGTACGACCTCGACTTTAACCCTAACTTCGTTGGGACGAAATTCTACATTTTTTATCTTGTACCAGTAACTCCCGAAAACCTCCTCGTCCAAAGTCACCCACAAGTTATAGCCAGCCGGCGCCCCGATGGTCGACGGCTCGGTGATGCCGATCCACACGTCTTTAAAAAAAAATCGCGCGCATCGTTTCTTCACAGCCTTCAGGTTTTCGATGAAGTCGCTTTCATCATCTGCGACCTTTATCACGTCCCGGTAGGCGTTCAAAGGCTCCACGAATCGCTTCTCTAGGAAAGTTCCGATGAAAAGGGAGCTTTTGAGCATATGTTTGGCGAATTTGCGGACGCGGGTCTCCTCGGTGGTGTCCCCGAAGCTGCTCGAGGAGTCCTGACTCACCTCCGTGATTTTTGTCATGTTCTAACCAAATAAAAATTACTGGCGGTTTTGTGGCGCATTTTTGGCAAACTTACACAACTTTGCGGTGTTGTAATGTTGAAAAACAAAGGATTTTGGTTGCAGTTAACTACATTGTTGGTTAATCGAGGACAAATTTAATGACGTTCATGTTTGACAGCTGTCAGAGTGCGCTATAAAGAAACCTGTAACAAAAAAAAAAAAAAAATAAAAATCAAACGATATTACATAAATCATAAATAAACTTTCACTTTACTATTTTAAAAGTAAGTAAAATTGTTTGCATTGTTCACTAGGGAAAATATTTTTATCAGAACCGGACTGACTTTATCTTCTTATCTAAATCTACATTTTTAAATCAACGTAATTGCAGACGTTCAATAATTTAAACTTTTTTTTACCGTGTAGTATCAAACTTTTATTAGGAATATTTGCTAAAAATGTCACCCCTGGCCATTTTTTAAATTTTCCGCTGCACAATGACATGACGGCTCGTAGCCAATCAGGTGCCAAGTTGCCAACCTAACAACGCGCATAATCCGAATTACCGAAATTACTTTGAATTTCAGTTAGTTTGTAAAAACGGTGTTTTCCGCGTTTATTTTACAATTTTCCCACATTTCCCGATCGATTCGTCCTGGCGTGTATTGAACATCGCTTGTTTGTCATTTCGCAGCAGCCAGTGTCACTTTTTGCAAGAAATCTGCTACCTTGGCATAAGCGTGTCATAAATTCGTCCAAATCTTGTGATTCCTAATTATACAAATAAATACACGTTCATTAGTAGCAACCCTTCGCCGCAATGTCGAATCCAACGTTTAAGGTAAAATAGTGCCCCCTTGTGCGACTCCTATAACCTTACATTTTGTGCAGCCGTCCGAAGGAAAGCGCGAAGAGTTCCGCAAGTACTTGGAGAAAGGAGGAGTCATGGACGCCTTGACCAAGGTGCTGGTGAACTTGTACGAGGAACCCGAGAAGCCAGAAGATGCTTTAGAGTAGACGTTCGAGAATCGTTTTGCGTTTGCGTAATTAATTGATGAGATTGTAGATACATTCGAGATCGGTTGGCCATGCAAGCGGGACTCGAGACGTACTCGCAGATGAAAGGTCGATTGGAGGAGTTCCAGACCCGAATTGATAACCTGACGCTGGAAGTGGGAGAGCTCAGGGCCGCCACTGAACCGCCGCCCGAGGGTGACGTTGAAGGGGAGGCGTTAATTGATGATGGGACTCCAGTGGATCCGATAGTAGAAGGCGATGGCGGCGTGCCGGGGACAGAAGACCAAGGGGAGGGAGAGCAACCGGCAGCAGGAAATCCCGAGTAACGCCTCCGGCTTTTACACACTGTTTTTATCATACTAATACTTTTAGAGTTTTATTTTTGTTCATTATAAAGCGGTTTTTAGTTTATTATGCTTTTGTTATGAGATGACTTTCAGTTGAGACTTATCGTTGTTTGTAACTTGATCTCAGCCAGTTTTATTTTTAAAAACAGAAATGTCTGCCTGGAGCGCCAGGCGTTGCCTTAAAGTAGATAGAATAATCGCTGTTCGAAGACGTTCTCTTTTTATGTCGTCTGTTTACAGAGTCATTTTATAGTTTATCAGACAAAGCCGCCATTTTAGCGCGACGTGGGGCGAAATTTACTACTCCTTGTAATACTTATACCTGTAACTGTTCTGTTTATTGTTTATCAAAGTGGATATTGGAACATTAAAACTGTTTCATTAATAAATTACTTTATTCAGATTCCTTATGAGAACATGGTTAAAACAAATCAAGTAAATGCTAATTCTAAATTTCAAGCAATAGTTAGCCGACAATGAAACACTTGCAGAAAAAAGTGCAAGCTCCGAAATTTCATCTTTTCATAAAAATATCAAACATTAAAGTGTTTGCAAATTGGACGAGTTACACCATAAGCAAGATTGTAGGACTTTTCTTAATGATATGAGTTAAATAAACGTGGTGCGATGGTTACTCAAATCCCGAGTTCACTTAGCCGCGGCTTTGGCAGCCTGCCTCCTCTTAACGTCCCAGTTGAAAACTCTAGCCATATTCACCTCAGTTGTTGTAAACTGATCCCTACAACCAAAAAAGATAAACCCACAACCACACTACCCCCACTCCTACCTTAAAAAGTCTAAATCATGTTCGACGTAATTTAAATTCCTCGACGCGGCAGCAATGTTCTGCGTGAGAAGGTCTTGAGCATCTTTCAAACTATATTCTAACATGACGTTTGCACCCAGCCACAAGAAAACCGTCTCCGTAGGCGGAATCTTCGCCTTCGCGAAAACCTGCTCACTGAGCAAAAACTGCGTCTCGAACTCCTTCTTCTGCTCCTCTAATTTCTCGATCATGGTCAGGGAACGCTTCAGTTCTGGTACTTGGTTCTGCAGGCGCTTCTTCTTCGAAAGAAGGTTATATTCCATGAATTTGTATTTGGCATGTTGGTTGTCTAGCTTTTTCAACACTTCGTCGACGTTTTTGTTGTTTTCCGGACGTCCCATGTAAGCGTCCACGTCTTCCTGGAATTTTAAGAATCATAAGGTGCGAAGTGAGGTTATGTCGGGTTGATTCGAGGAAGCATGTGATTGTGCGGGTTTTACGGGACTTACGACAAACTCGGCCTCGGGGATTCCGGCGTACGACTTTTTGTCTCCCAGTTCGTTGTTGGTTTCGGATTCCGGCTGCTCCATTGTGGATTTTTCTTACAAATTACCTCTAGCTACTGTTTAGGGATCACCGAATGAATTGAAAATGTGGTTACTTTTGGGGTGTTTTGTTGGTGCACTTGTAAAGGATCCGTCAAGTTGTGATAGTGCCAGGCTGCCAGATTGCCGATATTTGTTAAAGTTCCTCATTTTTTTTGCTTTTTAATAAAAGTCATATTTTTGTCGTCATTTTTTGTAACCGTTTGACATTTTTTACCCTGTTTTTGTCGTCAATTTTTGATTTAGTCCGATGTCTACCGACGATAGCTAACAATCCGGCAGCAGTGCATCCATTTATCATCTGTCAATGTCAATATGTCAAAAATAAGGTTATGTACCTAATAAATTGAATTCCACTCCTTTTTATAAACAAATAAAATTAATACAACTCCGAAAATAACCATGTGTTAGAAGTCATGGAAATTCTAGTGGGACTGATCATAATCGCGGCAATCTACTTATGGGCGTTTTTTATGGACAGATTCTTTAAGGTAAAAAATTCCGCCCTTCGACTTTCAACTCAGTCAAATTTTTCAGTCGTGCTCCCACTATGCGTATATTCAGTTCCTCAAGGGCACAGGCCTGGAGATCAAAATCTTCCAGTTCACCTGGACAACCAGCGCCTTCAACAAGCTATTATACAAATGGGGAAGTGGCCCCAGCACGTTTTTGAATCTCTGGTTTAATTTAGGGTTATGCTCCAGTCTCCTCCTGCTTCCTGCCGCTATATATTTATTGTTAACAGCGTTTTTCCAAAACTTCTCGTCTTACGCAACAAACGAAGAGAACATGATCCAACCAGTCGTGCCTGGAGTCAATCTCCCAGCTTCTGAGATCGGTTACTACAGTATTACTTTACTTCTAAGTTCTATTTTACACGAATTAGGCCACGCTTTAGCCTCTGTCCAAGAAGACGTGCATGTCATCAACGTCGGTGCTAACGTTCTTTTTATTCTGCCTGTAGCGTACGTAAACATCAGCTCTGATAAACTATTCTCTTTGAACCCTTGGAAGAGACTTAAGATTTTATGTGCAGGCGTCTGGCACAATTTACTCATCGCTCTCTTAGCGTATTTACTTTACACTTCGCTTCCGTCGCTTTTCTCGCCACTTTTCCTGCACGGAAACGGAATCGTGGTGTCACATATCGAAGACAAGTCACCGATCGTGGGCGACAGGGGGCTGCACGTCGGCGACAAAATCCTACGAATAAACGAGTGCGATGTCCAAGACGTGGAGTCCTGGTACCGCTGCCTCACCACGCTTAAACTAACCAAACCAGCGTTCTGTATCGAAGCTGACGTCGTCCACAACATGGACGAAAGCGTCCACTTGAAACACCTAGAAAACGGAATCGTAAGTTGCTGCCACTCTGACAATAAAGGTAAACTCTGTTTCGAGTATTTAGACAGTAAAGATAGCATTTTGGAACTGCCACCGTACGCGTGTCTCCCAGGCCGGGCTGTGATAGAAGTATCGACGAATTTTTGTACAGCTGACCCCCACTTATGTCCCAAAGACACCTTCTGTTTTAGACCCGTGTTGACGAACAACACGAATTTGTTCAGGATCAAACGATTAGGACAAATAGATGTGATTTACATAGGTCCTGTGTATGACTTAGTGAAGACTGTGATGGTTTCTTCGTACGTACCTAAATACGGGTTTTTGAGGACCGAGGTTCCGGATATGACGACGAAGTTCCTCGGTTATCTGGTCATGTTTTCCATGGGGTTGGCAATCGTTAATATCTTGCCGTGTATTTTTATGGACGGACAACACATAACTAACACCTTGTTGCACATTTTGTTTTCTAATCATTTAAGGACTACGCATATTAAGGTTATTTCTGCAATTGTGACCGCATCTTTCACGTTTTTGCTGCTGATTCATTGCACAGTTGTTATTTGGGCTAAGCTTAAGTACTAAGTACAAAAGTCGTGATGTATTAGAGGTTTTGTATGTTTATAACGTGTGTTCTTTAACATTGTGATAAAGTTGTTAGGTTATGTTGATTTAATAAATGAATAGTTTTCGAATCGTGTTTTATTTAAAAAACGACAACGAGTAACACTATTTGGATAGATTTATCGTGTTTTCTAACTCTCGCAGGCACCTTTCTCCGTACTTTATGTACATTTTTATGGAGGTTTCGTCTGTGTGGTGCGAATTCGTGCGAAAATCACGTCGTGCCCATTCTTTCAGTTCTTGTCGGTGTCCGGCGTCCGGAACTTGCCTGATAGCCCTGAAAATCCTCCTATACAAACTCTTAACCTCTTGTTTGAGAATGAACTGGAACAAAGAAATTTTGGTCCCGAGAGACCCGGGGTGCAAATTCTTACGTGTTTCAAGCTCAGAACGGGTTTGGCCGCCTTGGACATTCCACTTGAGCCCCCTTCGAGTTTTTTTTTCTTTAAAATTTACATTGATAACTAGGTTAGGGCACCAGGGTTTTTCGGTTCGCGCAGGCGCAGTTGGCAGACTTGCGCGTTGTCAATTTAAAAGTGTGGCGCGAATACCCCACTTCGAGTACCAAAATAATCACAACATTATTGAAAAGCTCCGCTTGTAGTTCTCGTCGAAATTTTCCTGGTGTGCGCAGTATTGAGTAAATTTTGTTTTTCCACTTTTGTTCGAAGTAGTAGTGCGTGTTTAATTTGCACTGTTGTTTTTCGTTGGTGTTTTTTTTCTCATTTATGGAAGAAGCTGCCGCCGAAGAGACTCATCCGAAAGTTGCGATCAAGAAAGAGGCTCTCAACGATGATATAAAAGTGAGTAGTCGGGTTTGGGTAAGAAAATTAATTAATTAACGTGTCGGGTTTATTTTAAAATCGTGCTTTTTACAATGTCGGTTTAAAAATAGAATTCGTCATTGTTGATGTGATGTTCGGACGTAAAAGAGGGGGCTAGGGTATAATGTATGCGAATGTTTTTTGATTATTTTGTGGCGTTAAATGGGGGTTTTTGTCGTAATGTTCCACGTTAAAATTTAAATGCGTTGTAGGCTTGAGCACGGGCCTAACATGGATGTGTAATACGAACTCGTTACTTGATATGGGGATATCAAATGGCAGATGGCGTGCAACTGATACCCATCAGCCAGACATCGTAAATACACGTTATTTTATATCCTTGCATCTCTCGTTGGTTATTCTGTTGATGCCGATGTGGAAAATCATACTTAATAAAACGTGTTTAAATTAATTTGTTTTGCTAAAAACGCCCCTGAAAAATTTGCGCGATTTTCGACCCCGGCACATTGATGATAACACGCTTTTTTATCAAGCGGAAAATGAGTCCTGAAATGTGAAAAATGTTCATTTTAACTTGGAGTGTCGGATTCTCAAAGAATTTAAAAAGTTCGCAATTTTTTGTAATTAATAGTCCTAGTTGTTGTTTCTGAAAAATTCCTCGTTGTTGTTTCTGAAAAATGAGAATCTTCGTATTGTTTATTATTCTACTGGTAGTTGCAAAATAAAAACCGTAAATATTTGGAGATACCTTGAAAACTGTTGAATGGAAGACCTTAACAAAATTAAATTGAACAGACTCACATCAGGTGGCTTGAACAATTTTCGGACTCAAAAAGTTAATAACTAAATTTTGGAATTATCATAAAATTCCGAATATAATTTTAGAGAAGTGAGAACTCCGCTCCCGTTTTAGAGACCCTTACAATATAAAAATACAGCTATCACATTTGAAAAAATAAATAAAATTTGATTAGCGGTTTATCATTGTCACGGTGGTCTTAAAATACTCAAAATCGCAAAGCAATTGGTACGGTAGTTCTGAGGAACTAACTGTTCAAAGTATTATCAAGAGGTAAACCGCAAACAACGAAAACGGAAACCTGCAATTTCGTATTCAACTTACGAAAAAAAAAAATCGTAAAACTTTAAAAATGGGGTTAATTTCAAAAAGCATAGGTAATCCGTGTTTTAAAATAAATAACTATGAGAAAATATTATTAATAGGGGAAAAACAAAGGTCCAAGACATAAAAAATCTAATGTTTTTTACTAGGGGAAATTCGCTCCATTTTGGAAATCATACGCTCGACCTTAAAAAATACAATTAAAAAGCTAAATTAGAAAATTTGGACAGAATTGTGTCGTTTTTAAGAAAATGAAAAATATAGAAACGAATATGTATTTTAGTATAATTTTCCAAAATGACGTAATCTGATTATTAAGATATAATTTTAAGGTGAGATTTAAGCGGACAACTCCTAAAATTTACAAAAAACCGAGATTATCTGTTATCTGAGAAACTGAAAACTTGTGCTTTTTTTGAAACGATGTAAAATATTCTTGGGATCCCTGTTGCTCTTATTTTTGAAAGAGTTTGAAGGAATCTCGGGAGTCCTTTCTGTTTTATTTTTGAACGCTGCTGAAAAATCCCTGAAATTCCTGTTGTTTTTTTTTTTAAGTTTCGGAAGGAACATCGTTAACTCCTGTTTAATTTATGAAAGAGTTTGAAACAATCTTGGAAACCCTTCTGTTTCATTTTTGAAAGAGTTTAAAAGAATCTCGAGGACTCCTTCTTTTAAATTTTGAAAAAGTTTGAAAGAATCTCGGAGATCCCTTCTGTTTTATTCCTGAAAAATTGAAAAGAATCTCGGGAACTCTTGTTTTATTTTTTAAAGAATTTAAAAGATTGTCGGGACTCCTTCTGTTTTATGTTTGATAGAATTTAATAGAATCTCAAACACCCCTTCTGTTTCATTTTTAAAAGAGTTTAAAAGAATATCGGGGACACCTTCTGTATTATTTTTGAACGATTTTGAAAGAATTTCAACGATTCTTGGTGCCTTGTTTTTGAAAGTGTTTAAAAGAACCTTGGTAACCCCCTTTATTTTATTTTTGATAGAGTTTGAAAGAATCTCAGGGACGCCTTTCTATCTCTATCAAAAATACAACAAAAAGTTCTATTTTTGAAAGAGTTGGAAAGAATTCTAGGAACCGATTTTGTTTTATTTCTGATAGATTCTCGAGAATCTCATTTCATTAATTTTTGAAAAATTTTGAAAGATTCTCGATTCTTTTTTCAAAGAATTTAAAAGATTCTCTGGATCCCTGTTGTTTTATTTTTTAAAAGAGTTTGAAAGAATCTCAATGGTTTTTGTTTTATTGTTGAACGATTTTGAAAGAATCTCAAGAAGCTTCTATTTCATTTTTGAAAGAGTTTAAAAAAATCTCGAGGAGTCCTTGTGGTTTATTTTTGATATAATTTGATGAATCTCGGGGATTCCTTCTGTTAAATTTGGAAAAAGTTTGACAAAATCTCGGAGATTCATTTTGTTTTATTTCTGAAAAATGTAAAAGAATCTTGGGAACTCCTGTTCTATTTTTTTTTTAATTTAAAACAATCTCGAAATCCCTTGTGTTTTATGTTTGATACAGTTTAAAAGAATCTCAAGGACCCCTTATATTTAATTTTTGAAAAAGTTGAAAAGAATATAGGGGACGCCTTTTGTATTATTTTTGAACGATTTTGAAAGAATTTCAACGATTCTTGGTGCCTTGTTTTTGAAAGTGTTTAAAAGAACCTCGGTTACCCCCTTTATTTTATTTTTGATAAAATTTGAAAGAACCTCAGGGACGCCTCTCTATCTTTATCAAAAATACAACAAACAGTTCTATTTTTGAAAGAGTTGGAAAGACTCCTAGGGACCGATTCTGTTTTATTTCTGAAATATTCTCGAGGGTTTCTTCTGATTCTTTTTTAAAAAGAGTTTGAAAGAATCTCAATGGCTTTTGTTTTATTTTTGAACGATTTTGAAAGAATCTCGGGAACGCTTCTGTTTCATATTTGAAAGAGTTTAAAAGAATCTCGAGCACTCCTTCTGGTTTATTTTTGAACTAATTTGATGAATCTTGGGGATTTCTTCTGTTAAATTTTGAAAAAGTTTGACAAAATCTGGGAGATTCCTTTTGTTTTATTTCTGAAAAATTTAAAAGAATCTCGGGAACTCCTGTTTTATTTTTTAAAGAATTTAAAAGAATCTCGGCACCCTTTCTGTTTTATGTTTGATAGAGTTTAAAAGCATCTCAAGGACTCCTTCTGCTTCATTTTTGAAAGAGTTTAAAAAAATCTCAGGGATTCTTTCTATTTCTTTTTTGAATCTCAGAGACTCTTTCTGTTTTATTTTTGATATAGTCTGAAAGAATCTCACGGACGCAACTCTATCCTATGAAAAATACAACAAAAAATTCTATTTTTGATAGAGTTTGAAAGAATCTCACGGCATGCTTCTATTTTCTTTTTGAAATAGTTGGAAAGAATGTCGGGTACCTCTTTTGTTTTATTTTTGAAAAAGTTTGAAAGAATCTCGGGAGTGACTTTTGTTTTATTTCTGAAAGAATTTCGAGACTCCTGTTTTATTTTTGAAAGAGTTTAAAAGAATCTCGAGAACACCCTCTGGTTTATTTTCGAAATACTTTGAAAAATCTGGGGGATGCCTTCTGTTAAATTTTGAAAGAGTTTGAAAGAATCTGGGGGATCTCTTCTATTTTATTTCTAAAACAATCTCGAGAACCGTTGTTGTTTTCTTTTAAAAAGTTTAAAAGAATCTCTAGGATTCCTTCTGTTTAATTTTTGAAAGAGTTGAAAAGAATATCGGGGACGCCTTTTGTATTATTTTTGAACGATTTTGAAAGAATTTCAACGATTCTTGGTGCCTTGTTTTTGAAAGTGTTTAAAAGAACCTTGGTTACCCCCTTTATTTTATTTTTGATAAAGTTTGAAAGAATCTCAGGGACGCCTCTCTATCTCTATCAAAAATACAACAAACAGTTCTATTTTTGAAAGAGTTGGAAAGACTCCTTAGGACCGATTCTGTTTTATTTCTGAAATATTCTCGAGGGTTTCTTCTGATTCTTTTTTAAAAGAATTTAAAAGATTCTCGCGATCCCTGTTGCTTTATTTTTTAAAAGAGTTTGAAAGAATCTCGGGAACGCTTCTGTTTCATTTTTGAAAGAGTTTAAAAGAATCTCGAGCACTCCTTCTGGTTTATTTTTGAACTCATTTGATGAATCTTGGGGATTTCTTCTGTTAAATTTTGAAAAAGTTTGACAAAATCTGGGAGATTCCTTTTGTTTTATTTCTGAAAAATTTAAAAGAATCTCGGAAACTCTTGCTTTATTTGTTAAAGAATTTAAAAGAATCTCGGCACCCTTTCTGTTTTATGTTTGATAGAGTTTAAAAGCATCTCAAGGACTCCTTCTGCTTCATTTTTGAAAGAGTTTAAAAAAATCTCAGGGATTCTTTCTATTTCTTTTTTGAATCTCAGAGACTCCTTCTGTTTTATTTTTGATATAGTCTGAAAGAATCTCACGGACGCAACTCTATCCTATCAAAAATACAACAAAAAATTATATTTTTGATAGAGTTTGAAAGAATCTTAGGAACTCCTTAACTTTTATTTTTGAAAGAATTTAAAGTAATCTCAGGGATCCCTTCTGTTTTATTTTTAACAGACTTTAAGAGAATCTCAGGAACTGATTCTGTTTTATTTCTGAAAGAATCTCGAGAATCTCATTATATTAATGTTTGAAAAATTCTCGAGGTTTCGTGTGATTTTTTTTTTCAAAGAATTTAAAAGATTCTCGGGATCCATGTTGCTTTATTTGTGAAGGAGTTTGAAAGAATCTCACGGCCTGCTTCTATTTTCTTTTTGAAATAGTTGGAAAGAATGTCGGATACCTCTTTTGTTTTATTTTTGATAAAGTTTGAAAGAATCTCGGGGGTGACTTTTGTTTTATTTTTGA